CGCTTTCTGTAACTAGACGAACTAGATACTAAGTTACGCCCCTAAACAAATAATAAACGTTATTTAATAAAACGGCGACCGTTTAATGCTTTACCTAATAAGTAAGCTCCTTATATCGGCGGTGCCCTTACTATTAAAGGCCGCTATCCTTCGGTACTAGATAAAGGCGCTCGTTCTAATAGACGGGAATAACGAGATCTAGCCTATACCCTAGGCGACTGTCGTTTACTATAAGGGAGATAACGACGTTAGATAGCTGCTTAAGTACTTCGCGCGGGAACTCGACGACCGAAGTAGCGGACGGCCGCTATAGCAAATCGCGACTAAGGATACCGGGTACTCTAGGTCTACTATAGACAACGCGTTTTAGCCCCCTAGGGAGGATGTTCTCGATAAGCTCGAGGCCGTAAAACAGCTATATTTTGCGGAGCTAATATATATCCGCCCTATAAAGATAGTCTAGTAAATTCCGCCGGAGCCTACGTCTATCGACGATAGCCGTATCTTACTAATTAAGGCGATACGCGACTATAGATAGAACGACGACGACTTTCGGAAGGTATTAGCTATATTATAAGGAAATTAGTAGGAGGATACCAATCCGTAAGAATTTAAGCAATACGTCGGCCTCCTTATAAGAGCCGTCGGCGACGCGCTCGAAGATAGCGGCTACGATTAAGTAATAGACGACGAAGACCTCGCCGAACTAGACGCCGACGAGAGGTTATAGTACAAGAGATATATCGCGCTATATTAGAAGTTCGGTACCGCGTTTGCCTAACTACTAGAAGAGAATTAGAGAGAGGTTATAAACTATAGCAACTAATTCGACTAGGAAGGCACCGAATAGGACGGCAAATTCGACCCTACTAACCTCGATAATATTATAGAGTTTATAAATATACTCGCCGATTTCTAGTTAGAAGACGGTACTATTAAATACGATAACGAAAACGAGCCGACCCTAAGTCTACCTCTAATTATCGATTCTATCTAGCGTATATCTAAAGAACCTAACTCCGCTACGAATGCGATTAAGGCTATAAAAGACCTGCCGCTACTATAGTACCTTAGACAAGAGGAAAGCGACCTTTTTAAACTGCTTGCCGCGCTCTATAGATTAGCACGACCGAGCGGCGATAAGGGCCTACGTAAGGCGCTCGGAAAACTTACTATAGAGACTTTTAATAGTCTACATCCTACTAACAAGAAAAAGGGCCTCTGCTTTCTAGAACTGCGCCCTCTATAGTAAGGAGAACCCGACAACGAGCATCCTAGAGACCCCGTAGTTAGCGAATAGTAGTGCTTCTTGCACTCTCGCGCGTTAACGACCTAGCTAGAGGAAATAGGATATTAAGCATTAGCGGGCAAGGAAGAATAGGGATAGCGAGACGAAAAATAGGGGCGTATAGCCTAAAATCTCTTTTATTATATATATAGATACTAAGTCTACCGTCCGCGTAGTCGCGGACATTTCGGGACCGGGGGATTCTATTACGAAGGTAGGCATAGGCATAGGCTAGGCAGGAGGCCCTAGCCTCCTATAGTACATACTTCTCTAAGCCTAGATAGACTTAGAATAATAATCCACTTTATAATATACGATATATAATAGTAGCCCTCGCTAGGCGATAGAAGTCTTCCTTAAAGTTATCGATAATATAATAAAGAAGAATATAGTAATTGCGCTCTAATACGCCGTTACTAGCAGCTCCTTCTAGTAAGGCTTCTACCGTAGCTAGGTCGTCGATTAGTATATAATTGCTATTAAACTACTCCTCGTAGACCGTCGAGGCGTTATTTAAGCCTTATTTACTATCTATTACCTTCTAGTGGTCTATATACTCGTCTACCTACTTCCGAGACAACTAGTTATCCTTAAACTCGCTATTAAATAGTATATAGCAGCAAGGCTAGTGCTAACTAAGGAAGAATAGGCAAGGGCACTTAGAAGGTATCTCTTCGTTAAGGGTAGGTTTAAAACGAGACTAGGTAATAGCACCTCGCTCGTACCGTAAACGTACAATCTTATACTGCTTGCTAATCTTCGTCTATAGATAGTATAGCAATTCTTAAAGCCTCGAGTATCTAAGGGAGCAGAAAAGTAGCAATTATAGTATAGAAGCTTTAGTAACGTCGGCTTTGTTATACTAGTAGTCGTTAATATCTAGAGAGTATATAAGGGCGCCTACGAGTAACTAGTTATAGATTGTCGTCTTGTTACTGCGCTTAAAATAGGCATAATAGCCTTTAATATAGCTAGTAGTACGCGTCTACGAGGAAAGTTAGCTCTAACTATAGTACGCGATTAGGAAGAAATAGCTATATTTACCTATAAAACGCGTAGATTGCCCTATCGAGCGTATACGTACTAGAGCTCGGCGTACTCGATTGTCTACTCTCGTTTAAAGTAGGCGGCTAATAGATCCTACTAACTACCTAGTAGCGAGGCTTCTATAAGCTATATATATTAAAGAGCCTAGGTCCGGTCTTCTATAAAATATAGCGTACTAAATAGAGCCTATTATGTCTTCTTATAACTACGCTTAATACTAAACTTCTTTCTAATAGTCTCGATAACGTGTCGCTAGTATAGATATACTATAACTTTATTATTAAAAGCTAGCCGGAAGGCAGCCTATTCGCTTATAGAGTTATTAACAATCGTCTATCTAAGGTACTAGCTACTAGGCTTCTTATAATCGGCCTACGAAGACAAGTGCTAGAAGCTAGTTGCAAGAACAATAGTATACTAGCTCTCGATAAGTATATAAGCGATAGGGTATTAGAAGTTGTTTTCGTCTCGTACGAATAGATTAACGAGGAAGAAGCTAGTATTATTAGTATCGTAGGTAGCGTCTTGCGATAAGAACTCGCTATACCTCTTAAGTAGCTTAATGCCCTTCTTAGTAGTATATATAATACCCTATTTAAGACCTTTAGACGTCTGTACCTAGAAGACCTAGCAATAACAACTACGCTTAACCGTATACTCTCTCGCCTCTTTAATTTGCTATAGAATAGCGCTTTTGCTAGAGACAATATAGCGCTTATCTCGATTGTAGTACGGTAAGCTTCTTACTAGGTTATATAACGTCTAATACTAAACAGCGTAGCTACTAATATTGCTATAGTTATCCTTTAAAAAGTCTCTTATACGACTAACTTGTAGTAATCTATCTAGCTTCTCTTAACCTATCTCTTTTAGGTATACGTTAGTCCGCCGAGCGTCGCTATACTATAAGGTATAGGTATGTTTTTGTCGATAATCGGTACGCTAGACAAGGACCTTCGTAGGCTTACTATTAATAGTATTATAGTAGCGCAATATAATAAGATTAAGCCTATAAGGCTCGAAGGGCGTATATTCTAGCTTTAGGCGACTAGAAATAGTATCCTCGACCTTCTTCTTCTTTACTTCCGCCGCTTCTATCCGCTTAGCCTTAATATACTTATAATAGGACCTAGAAACGATACTACTATTACGGTCTGCTTTAGGGACTATTATACGAGTATAGCTATATATATTAGATATTAGTTTAATAGTAACAATCTATTTAGTATAGGATAGCGGTATATCCTTATCGATAAGGAAGAGTCTATTACGAAGGACGCTAAGATTGCTAAGCGTATTACCGTTAGATATAGCGACAGCCGGTAGTTCCTCTATTATAGCGATAATAGAGGTAACGAGGTAGTAGTGATTTCAAAATTCCCAAAATTATAACGCGAATGTATACGAATTTCATGGTCTTAGCGGGGCACACAAAACGTTATTCAATTGTGGATCTCTACGGAATGCGCCACCCGAGAATTAGCGCGTTGCCAGAATACAGACACCTGCGGCGAATCGAAGCCAGTCATGTACGCCGACGGCGTGCTCGCGCGAACAACAGCACGAGTTCGGCATGTCGCAATGACCTGTCTCTCCCTGCAGCCTGCAGGACATGACTCTCCGCGAACGGCATTAAAAGCAGCTTCATAAGAAGGGACCTTGATTGACGCAGCCACCGATCCAAGCGCCTCAGCCATTCCGATTTGGCGACTCCGAAAAAACGTGACAAGTTGGCTGTGCGATTCGCGCACTTTCGTGATCAACGACGTTTTGGCTGCTTCTACTTTGCACTTCGATATACTCCGAGCATCGGCAGACCCGCAGTTTGTATGGCATGGGATGTTCAGGTACATGATATATCTTCGCCGCTGCAGTGCTATGACCGCGTCAAACCTATCTGCGACGTGACGAGGGCTTCATCACCCTATCCAGTTTGTGCGAGACCGTCTGAAGCTCCGACGATTGCCCCCTTACTCTCTGCTGCTTGCATTCACAACTTCAGGGCAGCCCGACGTTTCGCACAATGCCAAGCATGTATTCTATGTCCTTTCTCGACTTCGACTACCGCTGACACAATCCTTGACTTGTCAAGCCATATGGCTATTTCATGGTTCACCGAAAGCTTACCATCCACCACTACATCTCCAGTGGCGTAGCAGTCAGCCAACAACCACGCTTTCCATACAAGGACTGTAGATGTGATATGCATATGACTTTAGGTTTGCCACAGAGGCGGTGTGCAAGGCGAAGTAGAGCTTTGTTTTATGATACGCACGGCACGCGAGGATGCAGACCGGCTTTCATGGATGAGTGTGTGAATGTCTTCCTGCATTGCAGAAGCTTCTGCATATTCCTCGCAGATGGAGCACACTGATGAGAGCGGAATGCGGCAGTCAATCAGACCGACTTGAATTTATGTAATAACTGTCTGTTTTCGAACAGCGAGCTTTGTACTTGCCAGAAAAGCTTGTACATCGAAGGAAACGACAGTACTACATCACTTCCTAATTGCGATCACGTAGATTGCATTCGAACGTACAATTTGTTAGTCTTTGCATTGGAGGCGGAGCCGAAAGTAAAGAGGCTTAAGACAAAATTCCATCGCTATTCAACCTGTATTCGCACTGTCAGTATGCCAGATCAATGGATGTTGTCTTCTGTTCCCTCAACCCACGCTGTCCTTGATGAGGTTACCGGCAAGCTCCTTGGCGCGAGAGTAATCGATCCTGACGTCAACTAGAGAGAGGCCCTTGTGAGCGAGAGCCTCATCCATGACCTTTTCAATCTCGGAGGAGTCGTTGATCCTGAAGCCTTTACCACCAAAGCTCTCCGCGTATTTAACAAAGTCCACTCCACCGAGCTTGATACCCGATGATCGATTGTACTTGAGCTCTTCTTGAAACTCGACCATGTTGTATGCTTCATCGTTCCAGATAAAGTGGGTGATGTTGCAACCTTGAAGCACTGCTGTCGACAGCTCTTGGGACGAGAACATGAAGCCGCCATCGCCGCTCAGCGAGACCACTTTTTGAGAACACGGCGGATCTTGTGTTAATGAGGCAGCAATGGCCCATGGCATCCCCACTCCAAGAGTCTGCTGACCGTTAGAGCAGAGCAGCTTTCGTGGTTCGTATGCATAGAAATAGCGCATCATGTAGATGTAGACCGTGCCAACGTCCACCGTTACCACAGTGTCCTTGGACACTCTTTTTTGAAGGTTCGCGATGAACTGAAGGGGATTTACGAGCCCTTTGCCTCCGTCCTTCGATTGCAACGTCTGCTGCCATGATCTCATCTCTCGTGTTAAACCCTTGCAAAATTCGTCTTGTGCAGGATCCGTCACATGCTGGACAGCATTGCTAAGAGCAAGGATATTCTCTCTGACCGAACCCAGAAGTTCTACCTCTGGGTGGTAATATGCACCATAGTCGCAGGGTTGATAATCAACATGGACAATGCTCAGCTTGCTATCAGGGTTCCATGAGCTCGCGTCGTACTCGGTAGGATCATAACCCAGGCATATGATTAGATCTGATTTTGCCAGAATCCGGTCGCCTGTCTGGTTCCGGAAAAGTCCAACACGCCCAAAGAAGACTTGATCGGCTAGATCCTCGGGCACTGCACCTGCCGCTTGGAAAGTCTCCACGACCGCGATCTTGTGTTTTCTCAGAAATTCTCGTACCGCGCTCACAACAATGTTACTAGATGCACGCTGTCCAAGGAAAAGCACCGGCAGCTTTGCGTTGTCGATCATCTTGGCTACAGTGCTCACATCGCTTTGAGGAGCAGGCCCAAAAAGAGGAGGCTTGTACGCCGTCTCTGGGAACGACGTGATCTTCGATTTGCCGGCAGCCACGTCCATCGGTATTGAGACAACGGCGCTACCTTTCGGATTGGCGTTGGCGGAGCGGAAGGCTGCCAGGATGACTTCTGCAGCCTGATCTTCAACATCTATGTTCGTGGCAGATTTCGATGTTGGTGTTAGGATCTCCAGTGCCTTCATCGATTGATGGGTGTGCTTCGTGCTAAGAAGGCGTGGTACACTCCCTACGATTGCCACAACTGGATCTCCTTCGGTCGTCGCTGTCACCAGCCCAGTGGTTCTGAAAGCAAAGCAGGCAAGTCAGCAAGTGTTTGCAGCCCAAATGCCGCCCTATTGCGGAAGCTCAGACTAGATCGCTATATGCGGTAGCACGATGCCGCTGAGTGGCTGAGGCGTGCTTTGCACTCTGCGTAATACCTACAGATTGCCCGCTCCAGGACCCGACGTTGCTATACAAACACCAGGGCGGCCTGTGATGCGGCCCATAGCAGCTGCCATAAACGCTGCGTTCTGTTCATGTCGGCATACGACCAGTCGAATCTCTGGATGGTCGCTGAGAGTATCGAAAATGGCATCGACTTTGGCGCCTGATAATTGATTAACATCCTGACCGTGCGAAAGCTGTTGCTAGCACATACCAGGTATTCCGAATACTGTTTTGACGCCCGCGTTGTGTATGCTTTCGACAATAATTTGTGCCACCTGCTGTTCGCCCATCTTTTCAGGCTGGCTACTAGTCTTCTATAGCTGTAGAAAAGATTCTGGGCAAATTGAAAAGAAAAGGCAAAATATTTACTTGCCGTGCGTGAGATTAAAAGTCGTCGCGTGTCTGGAAGCGTGACAGCTGAAGCAATACGAATATGGGATCCGTCGTGGTCCGACAATGCGGTCACTCGAGCTCAAGCCCTGCACATGTGCATTGGATTGCATTGCTCGGCGGAGTGGAGTGATGTGGTTATGTCATTCTCAGCTAATGGTTGAGAACTTGAGGGCTGGTGGGAACTGAGACAATTCTAGACGATGTTGGAAGCTTAATTGGCCAAGCGTGAATCGTGTGGGGACTGAGATTGACCTGAGTACTTCGAGCAGCGACGCTCTTGCAGCCATGTGATACCCATAGTCCCAGGCTGCAGCTGAGAAAACATCTGAAGATTGATGACCTGGGTCGCGGGGCTCGAGCCATGCAGTATGTGAACCTGCACGAGACAGCAAGCCAAGCAAGGCTTTCATAACAGCAGATCATGTCACTAAAGCGCAAGCACTCCAACGATGAAGCTGATACTGGAGAGGCAGACCTTTTCCAGTCAGAGCCAATCGAAGATCGCAAGAGCACATTCGTGGCCTACTTCTCGCCAAGTTTGAAGCCGAAAGACCTTCAGAACCTCCCAGTCATCGCCAATGCAGATCACAAGATACTGGCCTGGCGCAAAGAGTCGAATCAGCAATCGATCACGAAGGCAAAACAATATGTGACCGGCTCTGATGATGATGGCGAGAAATATGCTGGAAAGAAGGTCGAGAAGGTCCTGGAAGCTCTACAGGCAGAAGGCGCTTGTGTTGTCGCTCGATGGTGGGGAGGTATCATGCTAGGTCCTGTGAGGTTTACACACATAGAGAGTTGTGCGAGAGATGCCGTTCGAGAGTGTCAAACCCAGCGTGCCGAAGCTCAGATGAAGAAGAGGCGAATGGAGCAAGAGAAAGTTGAACACGCCCAGCTGGCGAAGGCGCTCGTCGAACGTGACAAAAGCATTGAAACACTGCGAACGCTCGCGCTGGAGAAGGAAAACAGACTGAAACACATGCGGGCATCTTCACGGAGTGAGAAGGACTCTCAAGATCCGCCAAAGACGGAGATCCCAACTTCCAGTGCGAAGCCGGCTATGGACTACACGGCTATGCCACTTGATCGACTGAGAGCGCTAGACAAGGCAAGAGACGCTACAATAGGCTTTTTGCTCAAGAGAATCGACAAAGCTGAAGCGGATCTTGCGGCCATGAACGAGGAAGATGAGTCGCCGAAAGAGTGAAGAAGCTCATATCAATGTCATGCTATGCTATGCTATGCCATGCTCGATACGAATTCAACACTGATCAACGACGTTCCGCCTTTTTCAGCCCATCAGCATCCAGATACGCGTCAGACTGCATTGCTCACGTCGGTGCTGCACCATGACTGTTGTTTGACATGGAGACGAATCGTCTCACGCTCAAGTCTAACAACGATTCAATTGAAATTGTAGCTTGCGCCACGTAGTATATCACTTCATTAGTTGACCGAGGCCGGGAAGATGCATCATCTCGGTGAGCGCATCTCACCATCCATATTCTCATGATCGTACAGCTTCTGCAAACAGGCTTCGCATAGCCTTCAAGAAGGGACCAAGCTCCTTGGTCTCATTGAGTCGCTCCAGAGTGCCATCAACGTCTTCTCTCTCCAGCCTGGGCTTCGTACTTGATACTGTATACTCTCTTCCTCCAATCTGCAGCTCAAACCAGCATTCTTTATTCGCCTTTCGCTCGCCAACACCGTCAAAAATGAACTTCAGCGTGTCGTCTATACCGGTTCCCTCTATTCGCAGTCCGAGGCAAGTCTCCCAGAACCGTAATTCGGGAACATTCTGTCGCGCCTGCGCATCCAATGCGCGTTGATGTGCTGCTTGAGCCTCTCTGCGTTGTTTGATCGAAGTCTGCACAGATGCAATCTCCTGCTTGAGTTGATCGCGACGTGAAGTGTGTTCCTCCTTTTGAGCAGTGAGAGTGCGAATGGCTTCGTGCATCTCCTCGGTTTCTTGCGCTTCCCTGGCCACAATTTGCGCATGACTTGACGACTTCGTCTCGAATTGTGAAATCGCCTGTCTTCTCTGCCTCTGTTGGTCTGTTTGTCGTGATTAGTTGGAAGTTGCCAAAAGGGCTGTGTATCTGACCTTCAAGATCTGCCGCATTCATACGAAAGGCATTCCGTTCCTCCAAAACGCGCTTACGACCACGCTCAATAAACTCGTCAAATCGCTGCGTGAACTGCTGCATGCGCTGGCGCAAATCGTCAAAGTTGAAGTCGATCGTCGGTAGTGTATCTGCCATTGATGGTGCTGTCGCAGCGTATGCTTGTTGTGAGCCATTCGTAGAGGAGCCGAAGCGACTCGGAGTCATGGTAGCACCAGCCATATTTTCCACGATCTATTCGGAGTGCCGTTATATTGCGAATGATATGTGCTGTGTGCGAGATGTAGAGGCTGTCGCGAACCCTTGAAAGTCAAGTTCAAATGTCAACAAACGGAGCTCGGTCCGGTTGCTCGGTTGCGATTGCGGTTGCGGCTTCGCTTGCTGCCGAACGCTTCTTTCTTCAATTCTCTTCACAACGGACTTCAACCACAACAACTCCACGGCCTGAAAGACTTGCGGCTCTCTTGGCAGCACAGTATCTGGATCGACTGTCGACTATGATTTGTTTGCTGATACCATCACTTTCGAGACTGCGCAAAAAGCCGGATGGCTGATGGAAAATCCAAGCGTGACCTGCCCTATGGTCATTTTGGTCATGCTGGATATATTCCCGATGATGGGATTTGGCGCTTTGAAAGGGCGATAGCTTCTCATACTTCGATTCTTTCTCCAGAGGATGCCCATGCAGGCAGGGCGAGGACTACCAAAATTGACCGGCATGGAGAAGCTCGTGGAAAGCGACATCGACGGCAGTTCGATGATCTGGTACGACGATATCCAGACTTGTATGGCACCGCTTCCGTGGCACTGCCCTTTCTCCGAGTTTCTGAGGCTGTTGAGGAAGCGATTTATTGCCACGATCCGAATCTAGGACGTCTGATACAGAAGACTAGTCTTCGATCGGAAGTCACTCATCGCATGACTTCTGTGGTCGCGTCAGTCGCGGGGGAGGCAGGAGAGCTTCTTCGAGTCTCGCAAGTCCATCTTCAACGACAAGGATGGGGAGAGGACAAGGAGCTGTACCTCGAGGTTCCTGTTCTACATGGGGACGAGGTGACCTGGGACGCACAGCTAGGACCAGTACAGCAAGTTTGCTTTGCGCAGCCTATCGATCGTGGTGAATGCTTGCTAGCAGTACGTTATCTGACGAAAGTCCTGCTTGTCCGTCCGATGTATCGTAAAGGGACTGCGAGTGGTGTTTCGGGATCCGGAATCTCGACGGAGCTGCTCTATGCCATAGACCGCGCAGGCCTCACGCACGCTGATGTTGCGTTCAATCCGTGGTTTGGATTACAGATCGCTGTCATTGACCAGGCTGGATATTGGAAAGTCGTTGAATTCAGCTCTCGCAAGTTGAACCGTATCGCAAGAACTTGGGCAACACCTGGACCGACAAGCTCTTCCAGCAAGGAGGAAGCGCTCTATGACGGTTGGGCTCGCATCGCTTGGGTCATGAACTCGGAGACAATTTTGGTGTGCGTGCGTCGATCGATCAAGCTATTTAGCATCAACAAAAGCGAGGCTGTCTTGCAAAAGACTATCGACTCGGAGCTACTTGGTGACACGGATTGGATATTAGATTTTCAGCAGGATGCGAAACATCTAGACTGCTGCTACGTGCTCACATCGACGTACCTCATCCTGATTCAGTTCCGCACCAACTTGCAAGGAGAATTGACTGGACGTGTCAAAGCAAGAGTTCGCCATCATCGAAATCCAGAAGATCTAAGCATGAGACTGCACATTTTTGAAGCCGAGCAGGGTAAGATCTGAAATTACCTTCTCTACTGCGTCCATGCTGACCATTTCTAGGCGTCTGGATCCTAATATCTTCCAGGCGAGCCGAAATCGCCTTTGCTTATCGCTTCTCATTTGCCGATTTCAACCATATTACGGTAGCATCACCTGTCCAATTTGACCTTCCAATCGCTCTCTGTGAAGTGCTGGACCTGCAAATCGAGCCCGTCAGCAAGATCGAACCGCGGTCTACAGACGATCACTCAGACCAATCCGAGGAAGCACTTTACATGTCAGCGTTTGTTCTACGAAAAGACAGGGACATAAACTCAACGTTGCTGTCTAGCTCCAGCGACAATCGCAAATCTGTTGGAAAATGCCTTTTACTGCCTACGTGGACATCAACGCTTAGCGCCTCTGCGACCCGACTACGCGGAGACAACTTCGTCGTTGATGACGCTGCTGACGGACCTACTCCTCTTCTCCAATCCACTATGCCCATTGCTCGCCGAGCAAGACGACAGGAACAGCAAACGATACCTAAGCAGGGTAGCAGAGATCTTGAGTTAGTGGCGAGTGCACTGCGGCAACCAATTCATGTTCTACATGCAGTCGACCAGGTCCTCGAGTCTGCCGATGCAACCATTGCGCAGCGTCGTGAATCGCCTCTACAGTCACTGCATACCCTTGCTAGTCTCGCCAAAGGTGAGATCGGCATTGTTGACGTGCAGCAGTCCTCCGACCTGCTCGAAGCGCTCGGCGTCGGAGTGCCTCGCGCGATGGGACATGTTGCGGACATCGACGCTCAGCTTGAGTCTGAGCAACATTGGAAGCTGGGACACGTAAGTTTGGAATCAGTGGTCGGACTTGAGGAAGACCTTGCGGGTCGTGATCTGCAAACGGTATACAATCGCTTAGTCTCGCTATGGATTACACCTCTGGGGGAAGAAACATCGGGCTGGATCAGACTCGCTAAAGTGGCAATCGCTCGCTCGCTTGCAGCAGAAATAACTCTCGCGAGCAGAACTCTACGACTGGAGCGTGATCCTGGGAGAGAAGGTATTGCAGAGACTCGCACGGATCAAGGTTTTGATAGTGTCGACAACATTCCAATACGCTCGCAACCTGCATCGAGTCCATGGGCGGCCAAGCATTCAGTACCACCTACGCCATCTCCAACGGCAACACCTTCGGTCACAACGGCGTCAAGCCACCGCTCAAGTCTAGCCGCACCAGAGCTGTACCGACTGAGCAAATACACCACCTTCTCCAAACCATCGCCGATGGTCTTGCCTAGGCCACTCGCCAAAGTGTTGACTCATTGGGAAGTGGGCGCTGATCCAACCGAATACAACTGGTCGAGCACTTCCAAAGACATCGCCCGTCAAGAGGAAGAAGAGGAACAAAATGAAGAAATGACCGAGAAGGAGCGGCAACGTGCAAGAAGACGTGCTGAACGCCATATCAGACGGCAACGCAAAGAAGCTGCTGCCAGCCAGGCACACCAGCTGGCCAGCAGCCAAGCTCCTGAAATTCTTAGCGCCAGTCAGCCCATCGCTCCTATTAAGGCCGAGAGCCAGCCTTCCCACATCACTGGTAGCAGTCAGAGTCAAAATTTCGGCGCGAGTGCATCCAACATAGCTAGTCAGGTAGTGCCAGGTCGCTTTGGAGGTCGGCCACCTCCAAAGAAGAAGCGCAAATCAGGATTTTGATGTTGAAGCGCTCGTTTCGCTTTGCTTCTTCAACAAGTCAACACTAACATCACGCAATTACATATTCCAGGGTATGAATGTCGATAATCGAGATGCAAGTACAACAAAGATTGCAGACTTGCAGATCATGCGAAAACAAAAGATTGGGTCCAAGGCATTGTTACATTTCCATTCGATGCTTGGAAATTATTCCTTGCGCTACTCGAAGCCTCTCTTTCTTGGCATGTTTACATTGACACCAAGTGTGCCTATTGCCTGCCTGCTTGTTCAGCCAGAGTCTTGGTCCTTGGCCTTACATGTACGCACTGCAGCTGTGCGCCAATTTCTTCCTTGCTGTCATTGCCCCTGAGTGACAGGCATCCAATACTGATCCCAAGACTCTTCGCCCATCATCTCCTAGTCCTGCTCATCGCATGCTGAATTGCTCTGTGAGCATCAGAGTCTGCACTGTCTCGACGCTGGCGCGTCTGGGCCCTGTGTTGCACGGCAAGTCAGGCGCTATGTGCCTGTCAGCAAGAGAGGTTTTGTCACCAGGAAATACGTTTGACCACTTACCGGTTCGCCATACTTGGGCTTCTAAGCTGTATCATGAGTCGGTACATCTCAGTTAAGATGACCCATCGAAATCATGTGGAGATCAAAGCAGAACCAGGTGGTCATCCATCATAGAGAACGTTCATTAATACTTTCATCGTGGATAGTAGTACTGTTGTTGTCCTGCAATTGGCGCATATGGAGGCGCTGTCACTGGCGCTGCTGTCGAAGGCTGCTGCTTGTAAGCCCCATTGGGTGCCGCTCTGGGCAGCTGTTGCACCGCCGCGGGTGCGCCATGAACTGGCGTATACTGGCGCGGAGCTTCCACATATACCACTCTGGGTGGAGGTGGACCTGTCTGATACCCAGATCTATGGTAGTCATGGGCAGGTACTCGCGCGTACGCCGGGCGTCCGTACTGATCCTGGCCTTGTGGAGGGAGGGGAATGTATTGGATTGGAGCCACCTGTGCATCAACAAATCCATGGCGCGGTTCTGGTTGTCGCTGCGGGACAGCGGAGTGGTATCTCTCATTCTGCTGCACCATGGGCTGCCTGGGATCGTAAGACACGTCTGCGAGAGGCCTATTCTCACCTTGCATGGGTCTGTACGTGGAGCCATTCAACTCGGGCAACGCTGGAGGCACGTATGTAGAGGGCCGAAGATCAACTCGGAAAGGTGCAGGTGCATCCGCAAAAGGGCTTCCGCGATCAGTCTGTGGAGGGCTTGGTTGATAAGGTATGGTCATAACCCCAACAGGTGGCTTGCTCGGTTGAGCATTGACATAATGACCAGATCCGATGGGTGAGGGTGGTTGAGCCTGGTATGGATTCACACAAGGACCTGGTCTGGGCTGTTCCACTCGTCGTCGCTTGCCGGGAGAATCAAAGGACGGGGACTCGGGCCTTGAGTGATGTCCATTTGAGCGAGTATCGCTCTTAGCTGATGCGGATGCTATGGCCATACGTCTCAGGTCGTCGGGTGGCTCAATGGAGGCCACTGGTCGATCATGCAAGGCATGACCAACTGCTGCAGTGGGATAGCGTGACTGATGTAGCTCGTGTGTCTGTGTTTGTGTTGGGTAGTGCGGGTGGCCGTGAATGCTTTGTGGCGATGAATGGGCAGATACCTGATACACAGGCGACCTAAGTGCCTGACCCGGTGCTGGTGCCTGCGGTGCCGTGTTAGAATGCTGATCTCGTAACGCTTCTGTACCCGTCACACTGACTCTTCGAAACAATTGTCCTCCGATCAAGATCGTGTCGTCTCCTGTCTTGCTCTCCGGAACATGCACCCGAACGACGTTGCTGCAACTGTTAGCTGCCGCCGTAAATTGACCTGTTGACACGTACGACTCTGCGGCGGCCGGAGCGTTTCGGAGCTGCTGTCGCATGGCTCCGATCTTTTGTCGCACATCCAGGGATCTCTGCTGGGCATTGCGCGGCGCAAGCTGGAAGCGGTCCAGAATGCGCCTGGACCGTTCGTCATGGCTCTCTGCTCCCAAGTCCTCGGCGCCCGCTGGTTTGTGGCTGATCTCAACGCTTGTGTCACTAGCATAGCCTTGATCTAGACCGGCCGTTGAGTCCTCATCATCAGCCTCACTACCATTGCGAACAGACGGATCATCATCGTCGTCGTCAATCACGATTGTCTCGCGTACGATCTCCTCAAGCTCATTATCGGTTTCGTCGTCATGCTCACCGCGCCATTCGATGAGTTTCTTCAAGCACGTTGGCTCTACAAGCTGACGTGCTTCTTTCCACTCGAAGGCACGGAGCAGGCGGTCATAATCTGTATAAGTATGACGAATGCGAGCAATGGTCGCCAATTGCACGCGACGAGGGAGCTCTATGGTGGAGTTAGTGCCTACACGTTGGCTCCCTTCTGCCCAGGCATGCTGGAGGATTGCTTGCAGGTCTTCCTCTGGAATCCTTGGGAACAGCTCCTTGACAGCGGCCCGAACCTGTTCATCGGTTTCCTGCTTGGCCGGTTGATCCATGATGATTCCATGTTTGGCCATGGCACGGGCCATGCGGCTTTTCTCGTTCTCATCAGCAAGCTCGGCTTCCTTGACAAAACGGCCCCGGTTTGGAATATATCCCAGTTGCTGGCACGCATCTTCAACCACATCGGACCGGAAATGATAACCAATACGATGAATGTGATGCGACACCTTTTCTGGATCCTGGGCGTGCTTGCTAACGGGCTTAGCCTGTGTCGTTGATCAGTAACGCTCGGGACGGAATGACATAGTGTGGTTGAATGCTGATGTGGTGGCTCGGCGCGAATTATGCAAGCTCGCAATACATACGTTGACAACATTGACGGGTAAGCCTCTTTGTCTTGAAATCTCTTTGCATCGTTCGGCGAGATCGGGTGTGCCCACAGGCAAGAATGTGAAGCCTGCGGGTGCATTCGTATATGTGGTCTAGCACAAGTCTCAGCATCAGTCGGCCAATGCCATGTGGACCACCAACATGGAGATCGAGCTTTCTCTTCTTCGCGATGATTCGGCTCTGCTCGGTCTTATAAGGCTTATCCCGCCTGTTCTGGATGGTGCGGGCGGCGCTGCCAGGGCGAAGGCTGGAAGCACGCGAAGTGCCTGCTCGAGAAGCCGTCATGGTGCAACAGGCGGACAAGAAGAAGATTAGTAGAACAAATGGAAAACGGGCGCCGGCCTCCCCAGCGCCGCGCTCCTGGCGCCGGCGCGCTGACTGCTGGCTGGAAAGCTCAGTTGCGCAAGTGGCGACGGCGACGCGCTCCGCCCAGGAAGCCGAGTCCTGTGGGACGGCGTGTGGTATTGCGCTTGGGCTTGGTATTGGTATTGGTATGGGTATGGGATTCGTACAAGCGCGTCCCAGGGCAGATTTTCGTCTCGTTTCCTGGACACGCACAAAACTGCGAGCGGACGGGACGGGACAGGTATTACTCTTCGCGATGCGAAGCTCAGCAGTGTCTACACCGGCCCATGGCGGGCAGCAAAGGCAGATCTCATCACGTTCATGACGCCTGCGGGACAGGCGCCATGTTTGGAATTATGCTGGCGATGCGCAGAGTGTTGTTGTCGGGCTGTGAAGTAGTGATGATGGAAGGCGCAAGAGAACTGACGGGCGAGAGATTTTATAGGGCCCGCGAAACTTGCAAAGGTGAGGCTTGCACCCGAGCGCCCAAGCGGCACTACCCGAACCGACGCAGACCTTCCCTTCCCTTCCCAGCATCATCACACCAGCGCACCACCCACTCGACCGCCGACCTTCCTGCCAGAGCCTCGCATAACACCACCACCATGTCGCTGCTGCGCTCTGCAATTCTCACAGCGCCTCGAGCGCGTCTGCAAATCATCCCGAACCTGGCCGCCTGCGCGCGGCAACAAAGGCCACTCTCTTCAACGGCCATCCGGAGCGCCGCTGACCATGCACACGAAGACCAGTACGATCCACCCGGAGGTTGGCTCTTTGGCGTGAAGCCGGGAGAGAAGTACGAGAACGAGGGCTGGGAGAACATCTGGTTCTATGGCTTCTGCGGCAGCATGCTGTTCGGTGTCGTTGGATACTGCTACAAGCCAGACACAAGGTATGCACGGGCATGATTGCCTGCTGGATCGGCACTAACCGTTCGACAGTATACAGACATGGGCGCTCGAGGAGGCGCGGAGACGATTGGAAGCAGAGGGCATTTTAGAGGATCCGGATAAGAAGAGATAGGCCGTGAGGGGAGGACGGGGTTGCTATATGGTTTTTATGAGGCAGGAAGATGGACTTGGACTTCATAACGGGATTCGGCGCACTGTACATACCCAGCCGAGAGCTATAGAGGGCAGCAGCTGGTCTGTGGCATCACAAGCGGCTGCTCGAATTGCTTAGAGATTTGACGACACGTCTTGCCACCTTACGCTATGGTGCTTGTGTGAATGAGTGCCCCCCATCCAACGCCATTTCTACTCTTTCTACCGAGCTGTGCTGTCTACGTCAGCTGCTAGGCATCACAGCAAGCTGAGCTTACTTCGATCACAGATCTCATCGCGCACCAAAGCAAACATCGCAAGGAGATAAGTCCACCTACTACCCCCGATAGCTAGACTTTCTGGAGCAGCATTCTTGGTCACGTATTCTCGCGAGATGTGTATGCTACTGATAGCTCACCACCAGCCTTGCAATCACCAGCACCAATCCTTCATACGTTGCTTCTTCGCCCAAGCGCAGCAGCTCGACAGCTGCGATCCCGGCCAAATAGGAATCTGGTCTTATACAGAGCTTTTCCGCTGTCCTGCATGCCGCGATGCTGATTCGAAAGAAGCTGCACTGCTTGTGAAAGGAAGGAAAGCTGCTTGACGAGCATTCTCGTCGAGAGCATGCTGATTAGCTGAGGCCCCGACATGCTCACCCTGCCAGCAGCATATCTCAAAAATCATGATTATCACAGCTCGAGCGTCATCTGCAGCCTCGCCCACCAAAACTGTTCCGTGAATACTACAGAGCAGGGCGATTTTAGCGGCAAGAGCGTCGGCGAGCGAAGGCTCAGGGCAGCAACATGGAAGGAGAATGAGCAGGGTTGAGTACACACCTCTAGAACACAAGGGCGTGTAGACAACAGTAAAATCGTCAGTCATATCAATACCAAATCTCCACCCTCTATCCTTCCACCTTTCTCACACCCTCATCATCCGTAACCAAAGCAGCAGCATTAAAATCCTCCGAAGTCGGCAACTCAACATGCACATTCGAAGCCACAGCCATCTTCATCTCAACTTCCTTCGCCCTAACCTCCAAAACATGCCCACCCTTCGTCCTCTCCTCATTAATAAAATGCAAATGCTCCCCAGCAACACCAAACCCCTGCCAATTCTTCGGAGTCCTGAACCCGATAATGATACCCCGAACATTCTCATACTCCTCCACAGATTGCTTCCGGCCGAGTTCCGAAAGAGGTTGACCTTTATACCTGCATCATCAACATCAGCAATAACACATTTCCAAAGGCGAATCAACTCACTCCTGCCCCCTAACCGTCCTACACCTAACATACTCAAACTCCCCCTCAATCCTATACGTCATAAAAAGATTCTTCGCATGCCTCTCAAACCCATCCAGCACGGCATCAACATCACCTTTCCCTTTCAACTCCACCCTCTCCGTCCGTTGCGCCACAAACTTCGTACAAACAGCAAAAGGAATCTGATCTTCATCGCCCGCTTCTCTCGTCACGCCCCCAGGTAACAATTGCCAGATTCTGCCATCCAAGAACAGTAATTCACCATTCATGCGTGCGAATGTGCCCAAGCCTTGATTGCCTTTGGAAGCGAGTTTTGAAGCGGAGATTCCGGTTTCGCAGACTCCGTCCATGAGGGCGTTGAGGAGAGAGAATTGGTAGATGTGGTTGTCTTCCATTGTTGAGGTTTGAGGTGTTTGGGAATTAGAGGAGATAGTGTGTCTATGAGTGTTAATCTGGCAGCGAGTTCCAATGGTGGCAGAGATCGATGATTAGCCAGAAACGAAACGTCTTTGCTCTCCTCTTCATGACGATAATTTGTGCAGCGGATTCTGCGGATAGAGGTAGGAACATTCGAGCAGTCCGACCATTGAGACGTCATCGTGCCAAGAGTTACCTGATGGTATACCAGCTACTGCGCGTGCACGCGGCGCATCAGTACGGCTGGAAGATTGAGGTTCATGATTTTGAAAGAACAACCTTGTGATATAGCAGTCCTATAGTCAACGCAGAAAGCTAGCTAGAAAACCGAGTACACAAGGTAAAAATGTAAACTCTCTCTTCCACCTTCGTGTGCCATCCAGGTCCAAAACTCGGCTCGTGCGTCCATTCTGAACGGTACATGTACAATCTGTGTCTCCTCACAAATAACTTTTGCCGTTGCTTGACATAATAATACCATGTCTCACAACAGGCATCGGGCATGCTTCCCAAAACATGACATCTTCAACCATACAATCTCCTCCATATCCTCTTGCTCTTGGCCATACAGCAGGTTTTGCCTGCTGTCAAGAGCGCCCAATGAGGGCGCTGCTTGGTAAATGAAAGTATCCGGTCAGTGGCTCGAACAGAGCTGGCGAGGTCGAAGGCCGCAATCAAGCTTTCGCATGAGTCGGCCTTGCTGTGTGCCCGTGGTGATGTGTGCTGGGGCGGGCACGTGTTCATTCTAAAATCGTAGTGAATAAAAGGGTCGTCGCTCGGAGAATCGTGAGAAATTCAAGCGAGCGTGATCACAACGCATATGGGTTCAATGATCTGATCGTGAGGCACCTGTTGCGACGGTTAGTCTGGGTTTAGAATGATTCCCGATCGTGTCACTTACGGTGGGCTCTTGGTCAGGTCAGTCTTCAACAACACAGGTACTCTGGTCATTTCCTTGACATCTTGGATATAGTCGCCGTTCTCTTCCCGCAGCTTGAACAGTCCAAGGTACTTATCCTTATTACTGAGCTTAGCCTCTGGGGCATTGCTGTTGTTCAACACACGCGAGTCGGACTTGGAGCGCTGAGGAGCAAGACCGTTTCTTGTTGGAGATGGAGGTCCACTTTGAGTTGCACGGTCGCCATTGAGCGCAACGCCGGCGGCATTGTCGGTCGCTTCCGAAGCGTTATCGTCATCATCGTCAAACAATGCATCGACATCGTTGGCGTCAATGGAGCCGGTGTTCATTGCCTTGCGCTCTGCTTCTTCGGCAAGCTTTTGCTTGGCGACAGCCTCGCGAGCTAGAGTGCTGTGTGTAGGACGGTGACCCTTGGCCTGTGGACGCTCATCCTCGGGCACGAATGCTGAAGATGGGACACCCTTCTCCCAGTAAAGTTCAAGCAGTCTCGTGTTCTTGTCGAATTCTGCCTTCTTCAAAGGCAGCTGGTCGCAGTGGACACGCTTCTCGAAGCCATACTCTGGGATGAAAACATCGAATGCCGATTCGTAGACACAGACAACAATGCCAATAGAAATCAGATCACCGCCTTGCTCTTCGCTGACGCGGTTCATTCTGCGACAAGCCTCAATGTGAACACTCTGCTGTTGTGCGCTGTGGGCGGAATCCTTCTTGACATTGCAGGCCTCGGCGGTCTTGTGCAGATTCTCGACATCGTCATTGAACTCGATGGCGCCTTCTGACAAGGCTGCTTCCAGCTGACGATGCACAACAATGTCTGCGTAACGACGAGAAGGATTTGTGAAGTGCGTGTACAAAGGCAGGTTCAATGCAAAATGTGCCAAGTCCTGAGGGTTGTCGGCGCGTGCTGGAACCTGATACTTGGCTCGGTTGAAACACTTGAAGACCAAAGTCTCCATTCCAGTGCGAATGTCGGCATCCTCGACATGGAAGAGGCTGTTGTGCAGTGCAGAAGAGCTTGACGTGTCAATCTCGTAGCCGATGTTCGACATGCGCTGAGCGAAAGTCTGAAGACGGCGCGGCTTGGGTGGAGCGATCGTCCGCAGCAGAGCGCGGTCGCCAAGGGTGTCGTGAATTTTCTTCGCCACAACAGCGTTCGTCTTGTGACTGAGCTCCTCGATCATCTCGTGCGATGGGCTAGAGTTGAAGATATTCTCTTCGACGGGAACATTTTCGTCGTCCAAGGAGTATAGGAGACGGAGCGATGGAACATGAGCCTCATCGGTACCATAGCGAGCCTTGCGCAACTTCTGGGTGATGGAGTGCAGCAGAAGAATCTGTTTCGAGCGCTCTCCTCCGAGCGACGAGACGGTCTGGCCATTGATAACGGCGTCAACGTCCTCATATGCAAGCTTACCAGAGCTCTTGATTACGGACTTGCCGATCCAAGTGTCATCGTCAATCACGCGGCCAGTAGCAGCGTCGACCTTGAAGACTACAGAGACAGTGTAGCGCTCTTCTCCTGGTACCAGGCAGCATATTTCTTGAGAGAGCCTCGGTGGCAGCATATCCACAGTCCTATTCATCAGATATACTCCAGTGCCTCGCTTCTTGGCCTCGCGATCAACAAGAGAGTTAGCCTTGATGAAGTGAGCCACATCAGTGACGTGAATGCCAACTTCAATGAGTCCATCTCCAAGCTCTTTGAAATGAATGGCATCGTCGAGCTCCTTGCTGCCGTTAGGGTCGATCGTGAACGTGGTCTCGCTGCGGAAATCGCGGCGACCCTCGAGCGCTGCTTCACCATCGTTGGCGACAGACCAGTCTTCGTGGCCGACGTTCTTGAGGACGGCATCGGAGAAGTCGTCAGGACCGAAGTTGTTGTCACGAAGTAAGGCTTCGGTTTCTACCTTCAATTCTCCAGCCTGTCCAAGCTGCTCAACCAGAGTACCGAATGGATGCAAGCTAGTGATGGGCCATCGCTTGATGCATGCAACAAAGATCTGATCGGCATACTTTTGGTGGTTGTCGACAAAGTCCTTTGGAGCTTGCTCCGTGGGGATCGCAATCAAAGGCACACGCTTGTCAGTTGGCTTGAACCAGACAATCTTCGGGCGGTCTTGCTGACGCTCTGGCTGGCGACCAGAGTTACCTTCGCGAGCCTGGCGCTCGGCTTCCTGCTTTTCCTTTGTAGCCTGGCTGCTTGGACGAAGCAGGCCCAGAGTACCAGAGAACATTTGTCCGGCAACACGCTCGATAACGGCAACGATGTGACCAGCGTAAAGCGGCTTCTGCTCATCGTTGATTTCGTCTTCCTCAACCAGGAGCAGGCTCTGGCCTTCAACTTCAACGTCATCATTCTTCTTCTGCGTTGGACGCTGTTTCAAGCTGCCACGTCTGCGAAGACCGCCATCTGCAGCGCTCTCAGGCTGGGTCGTCGCATCGTTGACGGCAGTGACGCTGCCACTACGCTGGTCAGTGACGTCCTTGCGCTTCTTCTTTTCCTCCTTCTCGCGCTTCTGACCCCACACCTCGTCAACATCGAGGAGCTCGACCGCGACGTAGTCTCCTTCCAGAGCCCGGTTGCGGTCTTTGCTGCCGCAAATAAAGATGTCGGCATCGAGATCTAGCGTGGTAACGTAAGCATCGCTACGGTTCTTCTTGTTGACGCGGAGGGTACCCGCGACGAGTTGACCGTCGGCAAGTAATGCTGGGAGAGTGGCCTGTGGAAGATATGGCGTGAACAGAGTTTTGCGCTGTTGTTGCTGTTGACCAGGGCCCATTTGCGGTGCATTGTGCTGGCCGGTAAGCTGCGCAAGGCTTGGGTTGATACCAGCCTGCTGATACGCTTGCAGCTGCGCAAGCTGCAGCGCATTGAGCTGCTGGCCGCCGAAAAGGGTCGGTTGTTGGACCAAGACTTGTCCTTGAGGAAGCTGCACGAGCTGCGGCTGTGCATACTGCTGGAAGTTCTGGATGGAGCTAATCGATTGATTGTTGATAGACTGACGCTGTCGGTGGCCAGGCTGAAATGGCTGAGCAGTAGCCTGCTGGTTCATCTGGAAGTTACCCATGTTGCTACCTTGAGAGTCAGCGGCTTGGTTGTTGTTTGGGTTGCGCCAGTTGCCCTCGAAGTTGCGTGAAGCAGATCGACCATGCCCTTGGCTATTGCGGCGTCCCAGTTCTGAAGTGTTTCCACCGTCCGAGGCTTGCGGTGGTGGGAATTGGAAGCCTTGTGGTCCTCCGCGACTACTCTGAGCCATGCCGCGACCTCCAACAGCCATGCTCTGGCTTCGTCCGTGACCGCGGCCTCCAGCCATGCCACCTCGAGTGGTGCTGGAAGGTGTCTGCGTTGTTTCGCCATTTCCTGGGCTATCAGATCGATCTTTTGCCGACGGCGAAGAACCGCTAGCGCCTGGCAGTGGGAATTGAAAGCCACTAGTCTTCCGCTTCGCCTCAGCCAGCTCGGCTGCCTTCTTGGCCTCAGGTAGGGCAAGCGAATGTCTGCGAGCGTGACCTCCACCTGCTGCAGCACCACCTCTTCCGCGTGGCGCGCTGTTCTCATTTCGGCCCTGTCCAAAATTGCCAAAGTCTGCAAAGCCAGATCCGGAGGCACCGGCTGAAGGAGCCGGTGGCGGACCCATACCCATATTTGGCATTGCAGATTGGTTTCTTCGATGACCGGCAGGCTGACCTATTCCACCCGTCATGGGGATTCCAAGATGTTGCTGCTGCTGTGGGAATTGAAAGGCACCGGGATTGGGCGAGACGTTGAGGTTCTGCATCTGGCCCTGCAGTTGCTGGAACTGATTAGGCAGCTGTTGTTGTTGCGGGATCATGCCCATGTTGACATATTGCTGATGAGTAGCGGCGATCTGCTGCTGCTGTTGCTGCAGCATCTCAATCTGTTGGGCAAGAGCCAGTTGCTCCACTATCAGGAGCTGTCAGCAGGGGTTGTCGCACAAAGGCGGCGGCGGCAGCAGCAGCACGAGCACATGTGACAATGGCACGTGAAGCTGGGGAGGGTTCACTCACTCATCAATGGAGTCATCTCTGATGGGCTGCGACGATGAGCGATGTGCAGGCGACGGCCAGCGGGGCCCTGCGGACCTTGTTGGCCCTGCTGCTGCTGATCCATGGCGACCCGGGAGCTCCGCGTGTGCTGTGGTAATGTACAGGTGTCGATTGTGTGTCGTGGTGCTCACTGTCGAGCCAATGCACGCGGCGGGCTATGCAACGGCCGAGTCAGGATGCGTTGGTAGTGTTGATACTAAAGTGACGTATGCTCAAGCAGGCTCCAGCCAAAATGGTTGCTCGTGCGTGAAGCAAGCTATGGGGGAGTATGTGGTGGTGTATACAAGCGTGCAGAGACTGCTGAGTAGAGGGTGGGCGATGCGTGCGTTGGTTGATGTTGCGTGGTTCTGCGGTGGAGTATGCGAGGCGCGTGGATGGTAAAGATCGAGGCCTGGCCTGGTTGGCAGGAGACGAGACGGCCAGGGAGCAGGGAGCTCTGGCGGGCGGGCGGGCGGGCGTGCGTGCGCGTGGGAGGCGCGGGGAACGAGACGAAGCTGCCTCAATGCGAGCGACGGCCAACTAACAGGGACAGTGAGAGCGTTGAATGGGGGCACAAGAGGAAGGAGGGAGGGAGAGTGGTGGTATGGGAGGGAGAGTGTTGGTGTGGAGAGAGAGAGAACGAGCGCGGCAGCAGAGGGAGCAGTGAGCAGCAGCCCACGCCACGCCCGCAAGCCAGCAGCCAAGGGTGGTGTGGGTGTGGGTGGAGCCTTCGAGCAGCAGCACGGGACCGGTCGCTGGGCCGCGAACTCAAAGGGACTGCACCGCAGTGACCGCACACAATGACACGCAACCGGACCAGCACACAATACCATGCGACGACGTCAAAGCCGGCGTGCGTCATTGGCATATACCTCCTATTCTGCATGTCTTGCCGCGAACACCACCGCCGCCTCCAAAATGTCCGCACTGCACTTCTGCTCGCGGCTCAGGGGCTGCAGCGGCACACCAACAGCTGGCCTGCCCATCGACAGCGTAGCCTGGTAGACACACACGCCGGACGCCCGTAGCCGTAGCAATGCAGAGCTATTTCGATCCACCCATGCTCTGCTCCGGCCTCAGGCTGTTCGTGCCGTCTGATACATGTGACGTCGCGTCTACCGTGTTGCTGCGCTGCTGCCGATACGCTGCTATCGCCAGGGACTCGTGTTTCGACGTCAATGCGGCCATGCGAACAACGGCTGATACGTCAGGGCCCAAAGTACGCCCGATACTCTGACCTTCTCGGTCATGTGTAGCATGTATAGTCTGCTGCAAGCCTTGTCAGCCCCGTTTCTTCACTGTGAAATCATGAAGTGCTCGAGTCAGTCGCAGCTGTCTTCGGCCGGCAGGGCAGGCGCGGAAGGGGGTAATCCCTAAAAACAAGATCTTACTGATCAAAGCTAGCGTACTACTTAAAGGAATTATCCGCTTCTTGAGCGAGCTTACGTCTAACGTTTTCAAGCTAGCTGCCGCTTACGGGAATTGCCCCCGTCCGCCATCTCGCTTAATTAGGGTGTAGAGGCCGGGCCAGGGCTTCGAACGCGCGGGCACCGTGCAGGTCCTTACCGAGCGGGCCGCACCGCACCGCCCTAGTCGCTGTTGCTGCATCTGCTTCGCGTCTCTCAAACGCGAGAAGTGAGTGGCTTCAAAAAAGCACCACACAAGTCTGTCCCTAGCACCAAGCAGCGCACTTTTTACAGAACATCGTATCGCCAGAAAAGCTCTCTTTGCGCTTACCTACAAACACAGCTCATTGCATCAGACACACTTCCAACAAATTTTTCGCTGGCATTTGTCTCGCAGAAATCAATGGAATTGTGCATAGCAATTCACGCACCCCGACACCATGAGCTCCCCCAGTGCTCGCTCGAGTCCATTCCGCAGACGCGCAAATGTCTATCACAGACAAAGCCAAAATGAAGCAAGATCTGCGCAGCTGATCGAAGAATTATCGCAACTCTGGCGTGACGATGATCGCAGCTTCAATCGGAGGCTGGACGAAGAATTAAGAGCACAGCAACAGCGGCATGATGAGGCGCTCGAGAGAGCTCATGCTCACCATGACGCTGTTCGGCGATCTGCAGAGAACACCTACGAGGCTATACTACTACAACAGGAGCAAGCCCGATTAGCACGCGAGGCTGAGGAGCGTCGGTGGCTTGAGGAACAGCGTCGGAGGCTCGAACAAGAGAGGGAAGCTCAGAGGCGGCAGCAAGAAGAGCAACGGAGAAGGGCAGAAGAAGAAGAGAGGCAGCGCAGAGAGCAGGCCGAGCGAGAACAACAGGCTGCTGCTGAACGTGAAGCTGTTCGAAAGCAGCAGCAAGAGGCTACTAGAGCCCGTGAGCAACAGGCTGCCTACGAGAAGGCAGCTCGCGAGAAGGAAGAGTCCGACAAGAAGGCCAGAGAAGAGGCTGCGGCAGCCCAAGCTCAGCAGCAGAAGCAGTCGCAAGCTGCATCGCAAGCTACGAATTCACAGACAGCTGGCCCGCTGGATATCAGCACCGGTCCAGCCGCCGTTTCAACACTGTCTACTGCCGCTCCGAGAGCGCTAGTCAGCTCTATACAAGATCGTATGCGGGTCCACGAGGAATACTTGAGAATTCATCGACGACTCAAAGTGCTACGGCAGGAGGTGGACAGCCTCAAGAATAGCAATGGGCCAGAACAGCAGAGGATGTACGCCCAGCTCCGAGAGAAGAGAGCTATAATCACCAGGACAGTAGGCCAGCTTCTGAAAGGAGACAGCGTTCAGACCAAGAAAAACAACGGCGACAAGGTGAGTACTGCTTTCCGACCCACAATCCGGTGATAGACTAACTTGTGTGTTGCACAGATTAGTGTGATCAAAGAGACCTGGCAATGGGCACAATCTTTCTTTCCGAACGAAGTCATCGACATCAACGAAGTCCGCGTGGAACCCGTGCCACCCGTACCAGTGGCGAAAGGATTCGTGTACATCGTCAACCACACTACAAAGGCCATAATCAAGCAGATGAGCATCGACGCCGTAGCCGATCCAAAGTATGCAGACGTGATCGGTATTGTTACAGCACAAGTCTTTTCTGGAACCACGCAACTTTCTGGAGGCCATGCGATGTCCGACATCTTCTTGGCCAAATTCAACAAAGTGCATCCCATTCTCTTCGGCAAGCTCGGCTCTGAAAAGAACGCCGCCGCTCTGAAGGAACTTGGTTGGGATACCTCGCAGTTTAGCAAAGACCAAGCCTTCCCACGATTCGTTGGCATGTCGAGATGCTTCGCCGCCATCACATTACGCGACTTTTCTCGGGCACAGAAGCAAGTCAATCCGTTCCCCAACCGTCTCTTTTGGGAGGCTGTGGCTCGAATCTTGAACACTCCAAGCCAGGATCAGATGGCCCTGCATTATGTCACTCTTCAAGGTCTGCTCGACCCAGAGTATATCGGCAAGTTCATTCGACACTACGGTAACATGGCGCTCGCAGTTCTTAGGGTTGCTGTGAAGGACTTTCCAGAGCGTCGACCTCAAGATAACAATACTATCCGACAACAAGCCCAGGCTCTCACAAGCTTCTACGACAGATACGAACTCGAGTGCAACCTCCATCTTTAGCACGGATTGGAGTCAAGCACTGGATTAACTACCTGTGACGGGAAGTGCTCCGCCAAGATTAGGCCACAGCTAGAACGCGGCGAGGTTTATGAGGGTCGACGTCCAGGCACGGCACCGAATCCCCTCAATTTTGGTTCGAGCAGCGGTTTCGGCGCGAGTATACATAATCCACTGTATGACAGCGCAGCAACTTCAGCACCTAGGAGTTTCTACGGTGCTGCAGGTACCATTACTATATCGTCTGGCAGTGTACAGAGGCGCCCATCGAATGTGCCTGCTGCTCCACAGATTCAGAGCGGGTTGCCTGGGAATTGGTACAGGTAGAGAAGCAGGTCAGAGTGGGCAAATAGACCTGGCATGTTTTCAATCCATCAAAGGCATTCTCACATCATCATCATCGGCTACCAAATCCCAACCCTTTACAATCATCATCCTCTCTCAACGCGCCTCTGATTTCCTCCTCACCAACACCTAACCTGACTCTCCCCACACGATCACCATGGCGATTCTCCACGCCAATGATTCCCGCCTCAGCCAATTCCCTCGCAGCAGATCCAAAAGCCAAGATCCTCGGAGCACGCTCAATCTCTTTCTTGGCAACTTTCCTCCCCCGTTTCGAAGGCGTCATCAGATTCCCTGCTTCCTCTTCCACATCTGGTTCCGGCCTCGCATCTGGTGTAAGTAAGTATGTCTCGATATCCTTGTTCTGGCCGCCCATGATCCCCATGACTCGGGCTTCATCTACAATGTCTGCGAGTGTGGATTCTGTGATTCCTGTGCGACGGAGTCTGGCGAGTAAGGCTGCGAGGAAGACTTTATTTGATAATGGAAGAGAGCGAAGATGGGCTGCGAGAGGGGTTGAGGTTGCTTCGTTGATGGCGCGTTTGATGGTTGCGATTGTGACGAGGCCTTTTCTTGGTTGGTTTGCAGTCGTTACTGCTTTTTGCTGCTTTGTTGGGGTTTTGCTAGGCGTGCCGTCCGGAGCTTGGTTCTCTTTGCCAATTGGGCCTTGGTCGATGATTTCTTGCTCTGCGATCTCGACTGCTCTTCGACATATATCCAATGCTCGTCTAGCATCGCCAGATACAGCAGCGACTTTTCGGCTAGCGAATTGCACAGCGTCAGGTTCGACGACGACTTGACCTGTGCCAACGCCCTCTAGTCGACTTTGTATGATCTTGATGAGCTGGACATGGGTGTAGCCCGGAAATGTTATTCTTGTCAATCCAAGTCTGCTCGAGATCTTGTTCGAGAGAGTTCGTTCTGGCAAGTCCATTGTATTCGCTACTGCGAGCACGATGAGTCGAGAATGTCGGAGCTGCGGCCAGTTGAAAAAGTTGTACATGACACCCTGGTTACGGGTGACAAGTTGGTCAAGCTCGTCCATGAGAACCACACAAGGAACTCTTCGAGGGCTTGGTGTAGTAAACTCGCGCTCGAGCAGCTCCAGAGCGTGAGACGAACTCACTCTGTCGCCTTTCAGGGCTTCCCACAATAGACTGTAGGATTGGTGTGGGTCCGTGACTTTCATGCCGTTGATCTCCACGAAATGGAAATCGTCCAGTTGCTCTTCTGTCACTGCGGACTGCAGACTAGCGACGACTTCTCTTACGGTAGCTGTCTTTCCTGTTCCAGGAGTGCCAGAAATGTAGATGCAAGACCCAGTACCTGCTGTGATAGCAGCTTCTAGGTGCGAATATACCGTGTCGAACTCAGTCTCTCGGCAGGGAAGAGCATGAGGAACGGCTGAAACATGTAGCTTTGACCTCGCAAGCTGATATGGCGATGACTGTGTTTGCGAGGGAGACAGCATCCTTGTACCAAGAGGAGTGAACTCCAATGCCTTTTTCGTAGCAATCTTGCGACCGGATGGGGTGACCAATTTTCGAGGTGTCAGCTGTTTCGCTTTGGATGGAGTTGGCGTTGGCGTTGCAGAGTTGAGCTTTCGCTTCTTGCGAGGTGTTTGCGGCTCATCGTCCTCATCGTCCACAAAGTCGTCCAAGTCTCGACTCTTCGCGGGCGCTCTTCGTTTGCGTGTTTTGACAGTCTGAGACTCCACCAACTTGACCAGATCGTCCATATCGTCCTTGCCGCTGTAGACTTCCTCCCACACGAACTCTTCAGTATAGCTTGCTGTCCGCGGTTGTACACCTCTTCTGCACACAAACGTCTTTCCATGCGCCTTTGAATTTCGAGGGATCTTGCCGCTTGGAAATTTCTTCTCGAAGGTTTCAGGCGAATACACTGATGCCTTGCCGTTGATCGTTGTCAAAGCATTGTTGTCAAAATTGGCTGTGATGTACAGCTCGTTGTCTAAAAAGTCCGTACGTCTTTTCTTACTCGTGATCTCTTTCTCTGAGGAGAACCACAGCATGGTGGCCTGCTTTTCAATTGTGACATGGCCGTCTTCGTCCTTCTCTTCTCCTTCCAGGAAGTCGTAAAGGATCGCGACCCATGCCTCATTGCTTGTTGGAGCTTTCAACAGGACAGCGTCGCCTAGAAAGCATTCGAAAGTGCCCATGCGGGCGCCAATGATTGTTTTCTGCTCATCACCATATACCCATTCCCAGGGATGATCTTCGAGTCCAAGTTCGTCGTCGGAGTCCTCTCGAAGCACGCCGCCTCCAGACAGATAATGCCTTGCCTGGTCAATTTTGGATCGCCTGCTCTGAGGTGGCATTCTGGCTGTAAGGTTGTAGACCAGATAGTGGAGGACAGCGACGGACGACGAGATGCCAACATGCGAGAGCCAAAGTCCGAGGTCCGGGAGGACGCGAACGCGTAACGCGTAAAGTTCGCGTCAAAGTTTCAGCCGCAGAACAGGCATCAACCGCTCTCCATGTCGACCTTCACTCTGCTCCGTCTATGAAAATGCACGCACACCGATTTGGAGAAGAAATGCTCTGGAGCTGTGTGGCCATCCATCTGATGGCGATAGAAACAGTCACTGCTTCAGCAGCAGTCTTGTATTCCGCGAGTGCCCGGCCTCACCAGATGCCTGGAGCATTGTTATCGTCAGAGGAAATGGTTCAAAGAGACGTGACCTCGATTGGCAGGGTCTCGCTGAGCAGATTCACCAGTTCCTGCAGCTCTTGAACCAGCGAGCAGCAAATGTAGGATGGAAGAGCATTCTTTGCATCAGAATCCACGGCATCTTCGCAACATAGAGGGGCAATTACGTGAGTGAAAGGCAGTTTGTTCTTGCCGTTGCCAGGCCGACTCGCAACGCTCCTGCTTCGACAAAGCACACTTGATTCTTCCATATTCAAGCTCACATGCCCTCCCAGCATTTACAGCTACCCGCGCAAGTCGCGTTGCACATGGCGGCCATGGAGGACTATGAGCTTGCAAATGCTCGTACGTGGGACGACAGCATTGCGCCGCCACCCGATACGCCGGAGCCAGCTGTCGACAGTGGCCCTGAATGGGAGCTCGTTGGCAACACGAAGCAGAGCAAGAAAAAGCAGAATCAGAACAGGCGTCATCAGCAGCAAAAGGTGGCAGCTCGCCCGTCTGCCTTCCAACAACCGCCACTACGTCGTCCTCAACCAGAAAAGGAGAATCAGCGGCCACGCCCTGCCTTCCGAGTCACAGGACAGCATTCCGCTAGCAAGTGGCGCCGAGCAAGAGGGCTAGATGGCGAGCACACCAAGACCCCAGAATCGAAGCAACCAGCACCAAGACTGGTCGCAGAGGCTGACAACAACGCACAATCACTTTGGCGCCATCATAGACCTGCTCTCGACCACATCCGCGTCCCGCCGGTCCTCGCCATCGAAGATGACTCGCGTCACCTTCTGGAAACAGTAGCGAAGGACTTGGGCACCTTCATCCATTGCCCTGTCATGGACAAGCATGCTGCGCATCTCACCTTTGGTATCTGGGGCGAAGATGCAGATGTGGCCGCAACGAAGAATGCTCTTCTTTTTCGCATCGATGAGCTTATGTCGCAAAAGGGCAGAAGTGCCGGGTCTTTCGCAAAGGTCGTCTCCTTGACGCCGGTTCTTCGACAGCGCTACGAGGACCGATGGGCACGAGAAATCGAGAAGAGCCGTTTCCGGCAATTCCCTCCTCAAGGCATGGCATTTCCGGCTATAGCTTCGTTCCACTGGCCATCGAGAGAGTACAAGCCCGAGGAAGTGCTCGGTCTCAATATTGAGGCATTTGATGCCATACGCATGGATACATCGTGCTACATCGTCTATGTACCAGAGCTTTCCGTATTTCAGGTCATGGGAAAGGAGAGAAAGGTTAAGCAGGCTCTTTTGCGCTTGCGCAAGTCGTGCTTCCAGCTCACTGCGCGATCGGTCAATCCAGCACGAACCTATCTTGTCCGTTGGCTGGACGGAGCAGAGATCCCTACCCACGTTTACCTGGAACCTTACCCGCCGCCTGCAGTATTGACCTCGTCCGACGCCGTGGACGACACACCGAGCATGTCGCCTCGCGGCGAAGGCTTCGAGGAGAGCATGCATAAAATTGGGTTGAACCGCCATCTCAGCAAGATGAACACTGAGCGGGTGAGGGTAACACTCGGCAATGCTCTTCGCAAAATCCACTTCTATCAGGGTCATATCACCCTTCGGGTTCGTCTTGGCACTTTTCTGCTTTCTAGTTTCCGCATGCCAGAAGACGCCGTGAATGAGAATCCGCAGGACGTGCTCTACGAGCTCAAGGAATACGAAGACATGACAAAGGAATCCCAGTTTTTCGGCAGAGTGACAGAAGAGTAAGCATACACTTGTACGCAGTAAACAAACCTGCTAACCTTGGTCTAGGATTGGCGATGCAACAGCTGAGGCAAAAGTTCATGACATGCTTCTTCAAGCCAGCGACTTGCTCACTCCGCACGGAGCCATGACCACTGTCCTTCGCGACGTCAAACCAGTCTTTGCGGCAATCTTCGTATTTGACGACATACATGGAGCTCTACAACTCTACATGACATGGCACGAGCTGGAAGAAAAGCAGGCTGATGGACCGGAATATCTCCTCGAACAGACGAAGTGGACGCGCTTGGATCGTGACACCAACCGTCCAACGCCGCTGCTCGACATGAGCTTGACGGATCTGCATACAGGATCTGCGTGGCAATTTGAGATCGCTGCATCACGATCCGTCGAAGAATACAAGGTTCCGCAGAACTTGCGAGACTTTGCAAAAAGAGTCACCATCGACCCGGTGCAAGCGGTGAAGCAAATGGCCGACAAGTCGTTCATCCGCTACAATCCCTTCATGAGGCTATACTCTTTTCGCCAAGAAGTGATATTCCGATACAACATCTTAAACTCCGACTACACCCTGGAGTTGAAGCGCTTCCAGGATCGCATTTTCTCGACGCAACAAATGCTTATTGAGAAGCCAAAAGTCACCGTGTACGAGCCTCGCTGGGGCCTCAATGTGTTCAGAACTGACTGGGACACGGCTTTCAGCAAGAATGAACGTCTGCCGATCGGCGAGGTTGCTGACTGGGATGATACCTTCGAGGTAGTGTTCCCATCTGACATCGGGCCTGATGTGGAAGACAACGGCGATGGGTTTGAGCAGCTTCTGGGAAAGCTAGATAAGATCGCAGCGTTGGTCAGGGAATCTCATGCCAGCGGGGAAGATGCGGAGGAGATTGAATGAGGCCATGTGAGACTAGCAGCGTCGCTGAACTTGAGCTGGCTTTCGTGTTTGTATGGGGCTTTGATGGCCACAAATTCCACGGCCTTCCACAATGGCCGGACGCCCGGTGAATTTGTGTCGCGAACAAATTTGCTCGCATTTCTGCTTACGATTTGCTGACATCACTCCCCGAAAGGCTACGAGGACCCAGGCTGAAAAACACCACAAATTGACCGTATTTGGCAATACACGCTGTACAGCATTGCCAATGTCTGCTAAGCTATAACCAACCAACAACATCGGCTTCATCATGCGACTCCTTTCCTGTGAGCTCGGCGACTTATAAATACAGCTTTTGATCGACAGATGAGGCTCCTATTCTCAATTTTGGCTAGCATACTAGCAATCGCAATTACAACCTACAACCAAGAAACAGTCTCAGAATACATGCGGGCAATATTTCAAAGATCCACAACAGCTTTGAAGAAGAGCTTGAACCGTACCAGCAACTACACAACAACAATGGCGACAACCTCGAAATTCGCCGGTCTTCCAGTCATCCCGCCATCAGATCCAAGTCTCAATGCCGCAAACCCCAAACCACGAGGCATCCAAAAAGTCTTCGAAGCAATCCAACAAGCCGAAGGCGCAGGGGCCGCAGTCCGTCGCTCTATTGGCACACCACGCCTACGCAACTTCACTCCCTTCCTGATGCTCGATCACTTCTCAGTAGGTGCTGGCGCAGGCTTCCCCGACCATCCCCACCGTGGCCAAGAAACAATCACATATCTCCTCTCCGGAGCAGTCGACCACGAAGACTTCGCAGGCAACAGAGGCACAATCTGGCCCGGAGACCTACAATTCATGACTGCAGGACGAGGCATCGTGCACGCCGAAATGCCACGTGATACCGGCGAGGGCGAAACCAATGGCTTTCAGGTGTGGGTCGACCTCCCCAAAGATCTGAAATCCTGTGAACCTCGATACCGTGATCTTCGATCGAGTGAGATCCCCATAGCGAAGACGGAAGATGGGAAGGTTTCTGTGAAGGTCATTTCGGGAAGATCGCTAGGTGTGGATTCCGTCCAGGAATTGGCGTATACACCTGTCTGGTTACTGGATGTAACGATACAACCTGGTGGGAAATTTGTTCAGAATTTACCTGCCGGGTGGAATTCTTTTGCTTATACGCTTGAGGGGACGACGTACTGGGATACGGGGGCAATGAAGCAGAAGGTGGAGAAGTTTCATACTACTATTTTTGAGCAGAAGGGGGATCAGGTTATTGCTGAGGTTCCGGAGGGTGCGACGGAGGGTGCGAGGGTTATTCTTCTCGCGGGAATGCCGCTTGATCAGCCGATTGTGCAGTATGGACCTTTTGTTTTGACGGATGCGAGTCAGGTTAGACAGGCTTTGATGGATTATAACACTTTCTCGAATGGATTTGAGAGGGCGAATAATTGGGAGAGTGAGATTGGAAAGGCCAAGGCGCATTAAGAACGATGAATGAGATCCAGACATGAGTAGTTGGCGGGAACCAAATCAAGGCAGAGTGTGTCTCTTAGCGTGGCGTTGGTGTAGATATGATACATAGAACGATCGATTCCATGATGCGAATTCTTCCTCCTTCCTTTTCCTTCTCGTGGCCCGGTGCATCATCGCCATTCCAGCATGAAAGCATTGAGATCTGAGATCGCTCTTGGACGTCTCGACAGGATGGGATGAGATCGACCATCAATCTCTATGGTTGTATGTGGCGCACGTCAATACCTCCCGCTGGCAGCTATACTGCTATTATCCACCAGCTTGACCGGCCAGTCCGTCCTTATACTCAGGATATGAGCGTCGGTCAAGCACTGCTGTTGAGGTGAGGAAGCTAGACACGATTGTTTCCTTGACCTCATCCCGGACGCTGGTGAGTAGACATCTGCTTGTGGCTTGTGTTCCGCTTAAGTGGGCTTCTATCAGCCATCTACATTGACGAGAAGGCGGCGCATGTCCAGCAGAGTGGGAAGCGGTGTATGGTGGCCTGCTTTTTGTTGCTCCAGGGCATTTCCAGTTGCCTCCATTCTGAATGTACCATCATTCGTGTATGGGATGTGTCTTTGATGCGAAAATGCAGGGACTGCGGATCATTCGCAACTGGAAGACGACTCTCTTCTAGTCATGTGGCTAGACATCGAGCCTCTGTGGACTTTCTCGATAGCAGAAGGTTGAGCTGCCACAGTTTTGTTGAATTTGAATCTGAGCCGGCTGTCGCCCATTTCAAGATGCTTCGCCTGAGTCATTCGGCACACTTGTTTGTCTCTTGGTCTGGAGACTCTGTACGATGACCTCTGTAGGCTTTTGGCGTTCGTCCTTCGTAAAACCCATTATTTGTCCAACGATGCCTCCAGGCTTTGGAACCGGGCACTCTCGTTGTGGTCTAGCATCTGCCAACCCATCTGAGGTGCTCTCAACATTTTCAGTACCTTCAGCTGGGTCCTGGGCACATCTTCTCTTCTTCCTCCTGACAATTCTTCCATCGGGAGTCTCGTAGCTATCCGCAAATTGCCTTCGATCGACAGGGCATGGCAAAAGATGTGGGAGTGCGACGACTGCGAATGAGATGGCTAATGTTGTAGTAAAGAGCGTGCCTGTGGTCCGCGAGCGAGGATGAAGGTAATGCATTATCGTAGTGCCAGCATCCAGAGCAATGGCTGTGGACGAGGATAGCGCAGACGCTGTTATAAAGTTGAGATTGAAGATGATTATATAGAGGAGAAAGGCTAATTACAAAGGTAGGCCGTCGCCCCATTAGTTAGCCAACCCCTGGACCGTTACTTCCTTGTTCCGTAACAGTCTGCCCTAAACAAAAGAAAAGGCACGCCCTCGTGCCGTTACTAGAAACTTCCTCTGCCTAGATGCTCGTTATCTAGTAGGCCGTCTACTGCTTAGGCCTAATGTCTGTTCGTATTTCTGCTCGTTTAAAGGCATACTAATGCCTTAGCCTTCCTCTCCGCGAACTCCGCTCGCTTCTTGTTAGCCTTAGCCTCTATTGCCGCCTTCTCGCGTTCTAACTAGGCCTAGACTTGCGCTCGTCGCGTTTCCTTCTTAGCTGCTATCTGTCGGTTAGTATATCGTTCTACGGACAGGTCGGTTATGTCGGTCTGCACTCCCGTATAGCGGTAGAGCACCTATCCTTAGTTGCTTTCGAATTCCGCGCTAAGGTCGTCCGTCGGCTAAGTAGCCTTAGTCGTTACTACTAACAAACCTTCCTCTCTAGACTTCTATTTAGGCGGGTTTTTACCCCTATTATCGGTAGGCTCCTTAGCCGCGCGGCGGTCGTCCTTGTCTTCGAATGCCTTAAAGTAGGCTAATAATACTCCGGGGTTTATAGGGTCCGCGGAGTCTTCGTCGCTAGCGACTATTTCTCTTACCTAGTACTATCGCCTAACGAACGCAACTCGTACGGCCTTAGGGTCGTAACGTGCTACAAACTGTCGCTAGATAAGTTCCTATAATAGCTAGTTATGCTCGGACTATAGCTTCTTCGTTAAATTCTTAACCTTCTTAGGTGCTTGCTCGATACCGTCGTCGTCTATGTTTCTCTAGGCAACTAGGTCTATACGAAGCGTCTCCTTCGGTGCTAGATAGAGTATATTAACCTCGATGTCTCGCATTATATCTCTCCGCTCTCTAAGCATCTTATTGCGCTTCTCCTTTTTCGTCGGCGATAACTTAGCTAGCTCCGCCTTCGAAGTTCGATCCTTAGTAGGCTAAGCCGTTAGGGCTCTAGCTATAGCCCTCTTCTTGTCCGACGACGTTGCCTAAGCTAGTAGTAGTATAACCTTTAGCGTAGTAGGGGTCGCCTTCTTAGCCTTCTTAGTTAGCCGAGGAGTTATATCGCCTTCGTCTTCGTCGACAAGTCGGGCCTTGCCCTTATTCTTCTTTCTCTTCTTAGTGCTAGACTTAGATAGCGTTACCTCGTTAGCGCTAAATAGCGCAAACGATAGGTAGGCATTAATTAGCGTAAACGATAGAGTCGGCGCCTTAGCAACTAGCGTCTTATTTGCTATATTGCCTCTTAGTATTAACGATATAGCCTCTGCCTTATTCTCGTTATTAGAGATAGGTTCCGTTGCTAATCCTACCTCGCTTCGGAATTAAGCGATTCTCTATTCTACCGTTATATTATCCTCTTACGGTTACGGTCTTAGAAAAGGGTTGAAGGTATTAGGCTCGTCGGAGTCGGGCTCGTTAAGAAGGTCGTAGGCGTCGCTCTCGCGAGCTAGGCGATAGTCGTCGAGGTCGATATCCGAAATATTATTAAAAGTGCCGTTGCCTATAGAACTAGCACCGACGGTGTTCTTAGCCTAGCCGTCCTTACTATTACCCTCGCTAGCGTTGCCTAGTAAATTAGTAGTGTCGTTAGTAGCGGCTGTCTCGCCGTTAGCCTCGGCGGTATACGCGAGGAGATCGTTAGGAAGAGTTGTATCGCGCGTATTAGGCGTGTCGCGCGGTAGCGGTAGTGTTTCCTGCTTTATATTATATTCTATAGCTTTACGCTAATAGAAACGGTATCGAATGTCGTAATTAAGCTCTCGTATCTAGCAGTATATTCGCGGAAAGTTATTGTTATAGTAAAGTTGCTATAGCGAAGTTGTTTTAAAATAAAGTAAACTTAGTGCACGCGTAAGCTTAGTATACGCGCTCCTGCCTATTATAGAAGTAAAGCGAACTACGTAGAAGCTACGCGAGAGGAAATGCATATAAGATAAGTCTGTTATGTAATGCTCCGTTGCTATTCTAGCGGTAGCGACGATCGTAGGCCTTTACTATAGTTAGTAGAATGCCTTCCGTTCGTACCTACTTATTAGCTCTAGCTCCTACGTTCTTCTATCTAACTAGATATTCTACAACCTCCTTCCTATGCCGACCGACTCGTCGGACTCGTCGGTCTCTTAGCGCTTCTATTTCCGGTAGAGCGTCTCCCTATTCGATACGTATCCTTAAGGGTTGCCTCGTTGCTCGCTTATACGGATCCTTAGTATTAGGGTACGGCTCGAGTTCCGTAATCGAGACTACTAGGTATATCTTCTACGTCTTTAGCAGGTTAATCTAGTAGGCTAGTCCGGTACTTATAACCTTCGTTACCTTATATAGCCCAATCCTTAGAGGTATAAGCTTTCGGTTACTAACTCTAGGGATAGCGTAATTCTTAAGCCGTAAATAGACTATATCGCCTACTACAGGTTTCTAGGCTACGTACTAAGAGTCGTAGCGTTGCTTTATAGCGGCCTAAGCATAGGCGATGTTGTTCTCTACCTTAGCTCGGTAGACGTCCCGTTCCTTCGCTAAATCCGTCGCGCTAGTCGTTACTATTTAGGCTAGTTCCCTAGGGTTAAAACCTATTAATACCTAGTTCGGTAACATGCTAGTCGAGGCGTTAACTAAATTGTTAAGAACTAGCTATATATGCGGCGTTGCGTATTCCAATTCTAGATCTCTATTAGGATATTAGGCAAGGAAGTATCGTAGGGCAATCTCGACAGTCTAGTTCGTTCTCTTAGACTAGCTATTAGCCTGTAGGTAATAGGCAGTCGTTATTAGAAGCTTAACGTTTATCCGCTTGAAAATAGCCTTCTATATCTCGGACGTGAACTTCGGGTCTCTATCGGAGATAATTACGGTCGGCAGGCCCTAATTGTATCGGAATAGCTCGTCGAGCAAGCGGTTAGCCTAAGCCTCCGCTAAGTACGTATCGTTACTAGTAATTAGGAGTACCTATTTCGTATACTTATCCGTTGCTATAAGTATAGCGTTAGTTTCCTAAGCGGAAAGGGACACTATAAAGTTAATCGTAATCGTATAGAAGGGTACTAGTAGGGATAGTATAGGATTCAAGGACCCGTACGGCTTGTGTCGCTTAGTCTGCAACTCTAAGCAGTCCTAATAGTAACTTAGATACTTTTTTAGTCTCTTAGCTAGTTTCCGGATGTAGTACTAGTTATTTATACGGGCATAGGCACGATAAAAGCCGATATAGTATTAGTTATCGTATATACTACTAAAAATGTTACCCTCTAATGCCTTTAGGATGCACAATCGTCGGTCGCCTAAATAGGGCTTATCGAGCTATACTAGGCCTTCGTCGTCAACTAAGAAGCTAGTAGAGCCTAGTTCCGCGTTCTATACTATTGCTTTAATATTGCTCTAGTATTCATCTTCTTCGTATGCTTCGATAAGCTATTACTTAAATGCGTCGTCTATTTCTAGTATTATTACTCCGCATACTAGTTCCTCGAACACGTCGCCCTCCGGGAGATAGTTATCTATCGTTTCTAGGCGCGATAAGGCGTCTAGCACGATGTGTTCTCGCCCTAGCTTATAGACTACCTTTAGTAGAAAAAGGGAAAGATATTGCGACGATCTCGTTAGTCGGTTATTAAGCTTGTTAATTAATAAGGAAGTTAAGGCAGTCTAGCTTACGATTCCTAGCGTTGCCGTATAATCCGTAAGTACGGTTACTACCGACTCGTATGCCTCGACTATCTATCGTACGCGTTTAATCGTCTATACTAGGTAGGCGACCTCCAATTCGGTTAGCTAGTACCGTTGCTCTGTGCTAGAAAGAGTTTTTAACAAAAACAAAATCGGTTGCGTCTTTGTCCTACCGGGGTTTTTAGTAATAGCGTCGCCCTCGACGTAGGCTACTATTACGCCGAAGCCTCGTTTCTTAGACGCGTCGATATAGATATATAGCGGCCGGTGTCTCGCGAAATAATATAGCATCGTTAGCTTAGCAAATGCCTCTTATAGGGCTTAGAACGCAGCTAGTCGTTCCTCCGTTTCCTCGATTAGTATCGTTGCCGTATAATGTCGACGTACCTAGCCGGCCGCGGGCGCTCCCTTAAGCCTCTCCGTCTTTATCTTCTAGAGCGGTTCCGCTAGTTAAGCGTAGTACTTAATGTACGTCCTTAGCTATCTAGTTAGTCTAAGATAGTGCTCTAGGTCCTTTAGCGTTCGTAGGAACTTAAGCTTAGCAATAGCCGCTAGTTTGTCGGCCGGCGTTACGGTACCTAAGGCGTCGACTCGTTATCCTAGTAGCTAGATCGATAGGTACCCGATAAAAGCCTTTTTAGGTGCTACAGTTAGCTAGTATCGGTTTAAGGCATCGAATACCTTGTCGAGATAGTATAGATATTCCTCTAGCGTCTTGCTATAGATAACGATATCGTTAATAAAAGCCTTAGCGAACCCGTTAAGTCCTTCCGTTCGTAGGATTCTGTCGATCTGTCGCTATACGTAGGGCGGCGCGTTCTTATAACCTATTACGGCGACGTTGTACATTTCCTAGCCTCTATAGGAGACTACTAAGAGCTTGTGTCGGTCTTCCGCTTTTACTAACTATTAGTAGAAGAACGACTTTATATCGATCGTCGAGATGAATTTAGCGCCTTAGATAGCGGCTAAAACGTCGCCCTATAGCGGCATCGGGTAGGCGTCCGTTATTATAATGCGGTTAAGTCTACGGATGTCGATAACCGCTCTACCTTTGCGGCCGTTCTTTGATTCCTTCTAGACTACGAACGTAGGGAACCTAAAAGGTGTTAGTTCCTTCGTCTAGGATATCTATCCTTAGTCGTATAGCTTGTCGTAGACGCCGTCGATAATCTCTCGTTCCTTCGGGCCTATAGGATATACCTTGTGCGCTAATTTGGCGCTAGCAGCCTTCTAGTCGCTAACTAAAGGAATAGTTATTTAGTTCTCTTTAGGAACCTTCGTAAAACGGCCGTTATCGATAAACAGCTACTTGTGTTTTTCTAGCAAGGCGTTGTATTTAGCCCTCGTCTCGTCGTCGCTATATAGTATAGCGCCTATTAGGCCTAGCTTTTCCTTCGCTCCCGGTTGCGCTAGCGGTAGCGACTCGTCGTCTTCCTCTCGCTCGGTAGTTACTATAAAGCATAGTAATACTCGAGCTCGTCCTTTCTAAGCGATATTTATCGTTACTGCGGTGCTATTTAGGAATTGCATTTCCTTATTAGTAAAAGACAAGACTAACTTCTCCTTTTCTATTAAGCGCGTTCCTAACAGTACGCTAGCCGGTAGGCTGTTAATTAAGTATGCTCTTGTCGATATCGTAACCCTGTTGTTAAAAACTATATTAATAGGCATCTTGTTAGACAGGCTCGTAATCTTGTTGCCTACTTTGCGTATCCGCCGGGGGCGCGTTGCCTTTAAAGGAACTCTATTAGGATATCGCTACTAGGCTAATATTCGATTTATAAGAGTAATTAGGTTACCGCTATCTAGGCATATTTCTGTTACTATATTGTTTATCTAAGCTAACACAGTTGCGTATCTAGCAGTTATGCCCGTTTGCTTGTCGGATCTAGTAGCCGCTAGGATTTTTGTCCTCGTCCTTTGCGGTGCTCCGTTCTAAGATGCGAATATAGGCGGTTAGAAGTCTTAAACTCCTAGCGGCACACTATATAGGTATACTTGTTATATACTAGGCTTAGATGTCCTACGTTAAGAACATCTACCGCGTTAGCGTTAGCATTAGCATCGTCGTCGCCTCCTTTATCGGATAAATACTCGTTAGAGTCGACGTAGTTAGTATCCTACTGTTCCTCGCCCTCTAATTCCGGCTCCTCGTCGACCTAATAAGAGTCCTACTTCTTACGCTAAGCGAAAGGCTTTATAGGCGGAGGCTTAGCCTTATCGAAGGTCTTCTTAGCGCCTCTTAATTATAACTTGTCGCTTACTAATTCTTAACGGTCTTAAGGCTTGCGAAAGCGTTAGTCGCTTCGACCTTAGTCGCGGCGAGGCGGCGGCGGCTATAAGGCACGTACGTTATTAGTCTAAGGCTTCCTAGAGCCTTCCTATCGGTCCGTCTACTAACGGCTCGATCGGAAGTCCTAGTCTCGATTACGCTATAGTTGCTTACCCGCTAAGCGGGTAGGGAAAGGTCTCGATAAAGAACCGGTAATAGCAGTTGCTGTGTTGCGTCGGTTTAGTCGTCGTGCTAGTTTAGCCTACGCTAGTTGCTCCTCCTTAAGCCTCTGTCTAAATAATATAATAGTGTCCTCTTCCCTCGGTAGCCGAATGCTACGCCGCAGCTCTATATCGATGCTATTCTATGTATACGTTAGCTGCTAGCTCTTATTAACTAGGCCGGCGTTGCGTATATAGCGTATTACCTCGCTAAGGTAGGTATCTATACTGCGTCGGTTGCCTACGTCGGACAACGTATATTTAAGCCGCGTTAGCTCGTTTAGCGACTTAGACAGTAGCGTCTAGAAGTTCTCTCGTAGCGTCGTAAACTAATAGTCTAGACCTAGTGCGTAGCGAAGGCCCTATTTCGCTAGGTTGTTAAGCGTATTAGTGTACTAGGTTAAGGCTGTTCCTCGTAGCAGTACAAGGATTCTAGACTTAACTCGATCGTTACTACGATACGCTACAATATCCTTAAGTCGTTTAATAAAGATATTAACATCTCGGAAGAAGGTGTCGGATCCTACGACTGTCGGGTCGTCCTCTCCCTTTAGCAGGTCTAGTTAGAAGAAACCAATTTCCTAGTCCCGCATTCGGTCTAGGTTGCTAGCCTCGTTAAAGATAGGCGTTCTATTCCCGTTTCCGTTGCCTGCCGCTAGAGCCTAGGCCTAGCCTGCTAGTGCCTAGGCAACTGCCGCCTAAATAGCGGCTATTATTTCCGCCGAGATAGCGTCCCCTTGTTCCGCTATAGCAGGAGGCTAGACGCTCGTTGCCTGTATAGTTGCTGTTATAGGTTAAGCCGTCGACGCAGTCGAAGGTCGTATACTTATAGCAGAGGTCGCTATTATTATAGTTGTATTAGGCGATTGCCGTAGAGGCTGTAACTGCTATAGCGATCTAGAGGCAGCTACCCTTAGCTTGGAAGGTGACTTCCCCTTTACGGGTAAGTGCCTTCCGGACCTGCTTGCTATAGTAGTCGCCGATAGTAAATTTAGCCTATACCTTCTTCTATAGAACTATAGGAACGAGTTCTATACAGGTTGTCGGTATACCGGTAAGTCGAGCCACTTAGGGGGATAGGTCTCTGTCGCCTGAAAGTCCTATAGAAAGCGTACTAGATAAGACCTAACCTCCGCGTTAGTAATCCGGTTAGTTCGCGCGTATATAGCGAAAGCGCGGTCGTCGTCTATAGGGTTTATATAGATATGTGTTGCTCCGTATACACGGTCGTATAGAAGTAGTAAGGGGAAGTGGTTAGGCTCTTAGTCGGATTAGCCCGATCTAGTTGCCTCGTCCTAGTAGCGTCTCGAATAACTCCTAGTAGTACGAGGGTTTAGTGCGAGCGAAGCTACTAATTGTTATAAAGTTGAGATTAAAGATGATTATATAGAGGAGAAAGGCTAATTACAAAGGTAGGCCGTCGCCCCATTAGTCAGCCAACCCCTGGACCGTTACTTCCTTGTTCCGTAACAGACGCTGTTTCTTCACTCATGGATGTCCGCTGGCCAATAGGGAAAGACGCCGACCGTGCACTGATCGGGAATGACACTGATGCAAAAGTCATGACTCCATACCGCGACTTCAGGCCGCATCCATCGCAAAGGAAATGTCAGAACTTCGATCACATGCAAAACGCTCCCTCGACATTCGCCTGACGCATACAACACCACGACCACTTACGATCTTTACTGAAACTCCCCTGTGCTGCGACCTTAGTCATGGCCGAGGTAGCGGCCGCAGCGCCTGCTGCATCAATCAATGGAGCATCTGAAATACCAGCAGAAATCACAGCACGAGCAGCAGAGGCAGTGAGAAGATCAGCAAAGAGGACGCGCGAAGTGTTTGCAGCAGAATTTGGACAAATATCAGCCCTGGAAAAGGCTCCACAGCCGGCAGCAGCCCCGAGTGAGCCCTCACCGTTTGAAAGAGCACAGAAAGCGAGTGTGGCTGCGAGAATACGGGGCGAATATGCGGATTGTAAGGAGCTGCCAGCAATTCTGGCTCAGAAGCAGGCAGGCGCACAGGCGGGTCTGGCTGCGAGGCGGAAGAAGCCAAAGACAACCGAAGATGCGAGTGATCCACAGATGGCGAAGATGATTGAAGATGCGTCAGAAACGAAGGCACAGAAACAGCGGCCGAACGGCACGTCCACGGAGTTGATGAGGATGGATGGAAACAACGGCGCAAAAGCGCCTCCAAATGCAAATGGACCTACGCCGCAACGAAACACACCGGGGACAAGTCTAGTCAGACGAGATACAGTGCGGCAACAGAAACCAGATTGGCACCCACCGTGGAAGTTATTCCGTGTCATTTCAGGCCATTTGGGGTGGGTTCGAGCTCTGGCTATGGAACCTGGCAATCAATGGTTCGCATCTGGAGCTGGTGACCGGACTATCAAAATTTGGGATCTTGCGACAGGCACTCTTAAGCTTACACTTACTGGGCACATCTCGTCAGTGAGAGGCCTGGCTGTGAGTCCTCGACACCCATACTTGTTCAGCTGTGGCGAGGACAAGATGGTGAAATGCTGGGATCTCGAAACGAACAAGGTCATTCGTCACTACCACGGCCACTTATCTGGTGTCTACACACTTAGCTTACATCCTACGCTTGATGTACTTTGCACTGGAGGTAGAGATGGAGTAGTGAGGGTATGGGATATGCGGACGAGATCGAACATTCACGTACTCAGCGGTCATAAGCAGACTGTGTCAAGCATCGTCACCCAAGCTACAGATCCACAAGTCATCTCTGGAAGCTTGGACAGCACGATTCGAATGTATGATCTGGCGGCTGGCAAGACGATGGGAACACTTACCCATCACAAGAAGGGCGTCCGATCACTCGTCACTCATCCAACAGAATTCACGTTTGCCTCAGCATCACCCGGTCAAATCAAGCAGTGGCTCTGCCCCAAAGGCGACTTCATGATGAACTTCGAGGGCCACAACAGCGTCATCAATTCTCTTGCTGTCAACGAAGACAACGTACTTTTTAGCGGAGGTGATAATGGAAGTGTTGCATTCTGGGACTGGAAGACTGGTCATCGATTCCAGTACGAGGACAGCATCGCTCAGCCAGGATCTTTGGATGCAGAGGCTGGAATCATGACCAGCACATTTGACCATACAGGACTGCGATTAATTACTGGTGAGGCGGACAAGACGATCAAGGTCTGGAAGCAGGATGAAACTGCGACCGAGGAGACTCATCCTTTGGATTGGCGACCTACATTGGGCAGGCAGAAATTTTAGATGCATTACCTTACCGGAGTGGACACTCTCGGGAGTTTAGATACCCGGCTTCATGCTAGACCACCCTGCTGACCACTTGCACCCAAGTTCTTGCGTCTCACTGCGTTGTCGATCCACCCCATGGTAGTTCACACTTCCAGCACTCGGCCTTGTTCACATCTCCCCACCCATCGTACTTCGCTTGCCGCGGGTACGGACACACCGGCCTTTGTCTCAGCACGGAATCCTGCAGCGTATCGTTCTTCCATTTCGTAGCCACAAGCCGCTCTGGCGCCGTTCCACTCTCGGTCCAGCGCATCAATGCCAAAAGCGCATCGTGATCCGGATCGCTGAATCCGAGAACACTGTGAAGAGATGTGGAGAGGCTACCAGCTTGACTGCCGCCTGCGAAGTACCTGGAGCAGATGTGAGTAATCAAATAAACTCCAGGACAGGGCAATACAACTTACCAAGGAGCATCAACACCCGCCTGCGTCCCACTACAATGTTGCATGCCCGGAACTTCAAAATATCTGTACCACTCTCCCAAGTCCTCTTTCCCAGTCGCTCTTAAAACCTGCTTATAAAAGACCTCGCTCGATCCAGTAGGTATATAACCATCCGCCAAACCATGATAATGCAAAACCTTTCCTCCCTTCGATTTAAATGCATTCAAAGCACCAAATGCTGTAGCAGAAGCATTACCCGGTTGAATTGCATCGGCGAGTTCCACGATCGAGTAATTGAAATCGTAAATATTCCAGGACGGATCATTGAGGACGAAGTACTGTATATATTGTGATCCGTAAGTGCTCGGTGATTTATCGCCTAGGAGGACAGACCATTGGGATTCACTGCCCAGGGAGAGGCGAGGGAAGACGAAGGTCTGGTTTGTTTCGACGTAGTCGCTTTGTATGTGGGACAGTGTGTCGAGTTGTGGGATTGTGAGACAGCTAGAGGAATTTGTGGTGTTGCTGCAGAGGAGTGCTTCAGGGTAGAAGTCGCAACCTTCGGGGTCGGAGATGATGTTGTCTTTTACCCCGTCTTGAGGATCGCATTGTTTGAGAACTTCGGCTTCGATGATTGGGAAGAGGGATTCTGGGATGTGGTGTTCTGCGGTTCTGGGGAGGTTGTACAAGGCTACTTTGAGAGTCCAGGTTTGGAGATGGCTTGTCCACCAGGCTGGTGCGCCTGCGAGGACACCGTCGAAATCGTCTGGATAGAGTTGGATGTCGCGTAGACCTTGACGTCCTCCAGTCGAGCAGCCTGAATAGTAGTTGTACGTGCTTGCCGAGCCGTAGTATGCTGCTATGATTTTTTTGGAGAGGACGACTGATTCATGCATAGCCCGATAACCCCAATCAATCTTGGATTCCGGGGCGTTCAATGACCAAGTCACGTCGGGCGCGGTGCTGTTGTGTCCAGTATTTGTCGACATTGTAGCAAAGCCGTAACCGACTCCAGCACCCATGTCGAGCCAATTGATACCCCCTGCAAACCCGCCATTGCCTACGGCTAGAAACCTCTGATTCCAGCCATTGGGCAGGAAAAGACCGAAGTTGAAAGATGAATTCGAACTTGATGTAGCGTGAACCTCGATCGCGCAGAGAGCACGTAGTCCGGTGGGAGATTCTGGGTAGGCGACGTTCGATGGTGGTACATTGAAAATACCGTTCTCAGGCACCCAGACGGCAGACTTGATAGATACGTTAGATGGTAGGAACTCTTGTATAGCTTGGCTCGAACAGTCGAAAGCATGTGCTACCGACGCTGCGAGAAGCAGCAAATTCAGAAGCATATCGCGGATTCCTGTCTCTGTCTCCTTCGTGGTCAAGACTCTTTTGAATTTATCTCATTGAAATTGCGGCCGCCCGCATGCGGAAATGGTCGCTAAAAGTATGAGGCGTGCTCTCCAACGAGACCGTAGATCACAACGGAATTTCGGGACGGCGAGTATTCCACGGCACCACGACATGTTTCATATCATTTCCCACTACCTTGATAAATGCGGTGGTGGCCACATGACTGCTCGCTAACGTCGATCATGGCCCCGCTTGGGCCCGCATCTCCATTCATTATCTGCCATGTCCGTTGCGGAAGTGGTCTTTGGACAGACGTTACACCGACAACTCGAGTCCTGTAAGCCACAGATCCTTGTGAGCATACTCGTTCGAAAGCGGTCGATATAGATTGACAGCGCTTGGTCGCCTTCATGGGATCCATGCCTTTGGCATCGTATATTTAACTTGGCACCACACCGGACCAGCTGGTTGGGAATAGAGTGTTCGACAACATGCATAATGCAAGGCCAATCCATTGGTACTGCATCCTGTGTGACTGAAGAAGCTGTGTCAATTCTCGAGATCTTGCTTCGTAGATCACAGTTGCCATCATCTGTGGCAATTGTACCTAATGCCGTTGATTCTGCAACCTGCAGGTGATTATTTGTCCACAGGTCGCGACCTTCGACAGGTGATCGCAATGGTCTTCGCCCACTCCCATTCGGTGCTTCACCCAGGGTGACTCGAAAGCTGTATTGATTTTGTGACGCCAGATCAAAGTTTCGCCTTGATTGGTCGTTCTTCATTCATAAAGCTGCCGTCCTCATGGACAGCAATGCAAACAACGACGGCAATGTCATCGGGTTTGCCACCCTCCCATCCCTCTTGCGGGTAGTGTTGCTTCACTTCTTTTGCAAAGGGTCCATCACGTCGTCGATCCAGTCCCGCAATTTTGGCTTCTCGCATCACAGCCGATGCTATTTGGCCGGGCAGGAAAGACTCTTCAATGCTTCCCTCGATTTTCCGTGGCATTGCGCGAATGAGCGTGCCATTGACTTTGGTTTCAGCTCCAGGAGAATCATGAGATTGAGACCAGTAGCCGCCTTCCTCCATGATCCGTTGTACGATTCGCAGAGTATCTTGTGCGGATAGATTGTCCCAAACACCATCTGTGGCAAAGAGCACGATGTCGCCATGCTTTAATTGGTGATGGGAGACATCAGCATCTTCAGGAGTTTCGCTGAAGTACGTAGCGCCCCCAAAAATGGCATATTGAGCTTGCATCTTTGATGGGACCTTTGACATCTGGTAGGGTGTATTGAAAGCGTGAGTCTGGCTCACTGATCGATGGGCTACTTTTCCAGGAGCGAAGATCAGATAACCAGAATCTCCAAGGCTGCGTCAATGTCAATAGGCGTTCTGATGAAAAGCTAGGGAGCTACCTACTTCGCCGTCTCAATGTTTCCTGTCTTGTCAGCAACACCGAGACTGGCAGTGCACCCGCCAGCTGCGATGCGTGGATTTGCCATTACTGCATCGTAGGCCGTTTGGAGGAGCGGTTGAGGTTTGCAAGGTGCACCACCTTCAATGTCTTCATAGATATTTGCCGTGCCAGCCATCAGACCGCACAAGGCCTGGCTGTACTCTGACGGGTCTACACCTTGATCCTGCCATCCGCCGACTCCATCTGCCACTCCAAATGCTACGTGATGCTGGCTCCCACCGATAGTAGTGGCGAAGAAGGCATCTTCCCCGGAATCTTTCTTCGTGGATCTCAGATAGGGTGGTGAGGGATTCTCGTGGGTTGAGGCATAGTTCCAGTAATCCTGTCCAGGTTTTGGAGGTCTGGGAGGTGCACGCTTTGGCGAGGAAGCTGCAGCAATACGATACGTGAAAGAGCCAGCTTCTGGGGCATTCGAAGGCGTCGAGTACGGCCGCGTTCGCGACAGCGGCATAGACTGGTTGGGCAAGCGAGAGGCTTTAGAAGTCAGACTTATGGTGCTCCGCTTGACGAGCAGAGGGAGGCAGGCTGACATAGCTCGAGGGAGAGGATGTAGGCGACGACGACTCCAGTAAGCAGCATGGCTAGAACATGTTATATCGAAAGCACAAGAGATTTCAGTGAGGACAATATGAGGACGGCAAGGGACCTAAGTGCGGTGTCAAGAGAAGGGTTATCGGATGACGGAGGAGAATTGGGCTCACGACTCGAGAAGCTTTTGAGGCTCAAATTCTAAATCTATTGACAACCACCACATGCGACCTCACTCTACACATCGTATTAGGCAGTCTTTCTGGACTGGCTGAGCAGTAGTAGGCAATATGTCCATACATCCGTCGCGACAAGCATATGTGGAAGAAGAGGTAAGCACCGTCTCCAGTAGAGTCCTACTCAAAGCTTCGCGGCGATATTCACACGTGCATTGCCAGAACGAGCGTCGCCGCCGACACCACCACATACGAGGGGACGATTGACTGATGGCAGCACGCAGGAGGCAACGCTCGATCTCGCCAGTCTCCTAACAGATACCAACTACCAGATCCGCGACCCGAATACTGGCCAGTCGCAACATGCATCGACCGTGTTAGGTGAATTTGCCCGAAAACGCAGAGCGAATGCATTAGCAGTACCCACCGACGATGCCCGCGTGCGGCAGGAGCTTCGATCACGAGGTGAACCCATTACTCTGTTCGGCGAGCGTAAAGAAGATCGTCGTGACCGATTACGAGAATTGCTGTTGGGTGAGCAGGAAGGCGGCGCTGCGGACGAAGATGAATCGATGGCAGATGCCGATGAGGATGGTGAGGGCGACGAAGAAGGAGAATTCTACATTGAAGGCAGCCAGTCCCTGCTCGTCGCCAGAAGAGACCTCGCAAAATACTCGCTGCCCAGAGCCACGAAGCGACTCGCATATCAGAAGCAGGAAAGCAAGATCCCGGTCCAGTCGCATGTCAAGCATCGGAAAGCGATCAAAGAAAAGCTAGGAGGCGTCGAGCTCTTTGGCAGTCAGATTGCGAGTGAGAGGCCTGTTAGTATCGTTCGCTTTGCACCGAATGGCGAGGTGGTGGCCTCTGGAGATTGGGGAGGCAGTGTGAAACTGCTTGACGTGCCCAATCTGGAATCCAAAATGGTACTACGTGGACACACGGGAATGGTTGGAGGCATCTCGTGGTTTCCAGGAGCAACATTATCTGGCTCTACAGTGTCTCCCGATAGTCTGAACCTCGCTACATCCGCTGCCGACAACGAAATTCATCTATGGTCACTCTCGCAAGACACGCCAATATCAACGCTAGGCGGCCACAGCGCCCGAATCTGCCGGATTGATTTCCATCCCTCAGGAAAATATCTCGCAAGCGCAAGCTACGACACAACATGGCGATTGTGGGATGTGGCGACCACGACAGAGCTGTTGCTTCAGGAAGGTCATAGCAAAGAAGTCTATACGGTCTCCTTCAACGAAGATGGCAGTCTTGTCGCTTCAGCTGGTCTCGATTCCATAGGTCGCATCTGGGACATGCGAACTGGCCGGACTGCTATGATTCTCGAAGGTCACGTCGGGCCCATCCATGCCATGGACTGGAGTTGTGATGGGTATCGAATAATGACCGGAAGTGCCGATGGTTTTGCAAAATGCTGGGATATGCGCGCTGTACGCGAGACTGCAAGTATCGGCGCTCACGTTGGAGGAGTGTCTGACTTGAGGTGGTACAAAGGCACTGATGGTCCGCTCTCTGGCCATCAATTGCAAGCAGATACGGCTATGACCAACGGAGATAGTAACGACGACAGTACATCACAGGTGCAGCCCAAGAAGGCTGGGACATTCCTGGTCAGCAGTGGCTTCGACAAGGCTGTGAACATTTTCTCGGCGGACGACTGGGCGCTGTGCAAGTCTCTGACTGGCCACGATGGTACTGTTCTTTCAGTCGATGTCACAACGGATGCAAAATTCATCGCTTCGTGTGGCCGCGACCGCACGGTAAAGCTTTGGGCGAGAGACGACATGGAGGGCATTTGAAAGAAAAATTTGGCAAAATGGACAGATTATTGAGTCAGTTATGGTGCCGTCCCTGCGTCGCACATGGTTCGCGATCTGAGAGGCAGATCTAACGCTGCCACAGCCGATGAGCTCCCGCCGAAAGTTCGTTGACACTCTGCGTCTGGTCGATGATCTGGACTAAAGCACCTCGTCATCAGCATGGTGACTATCAGCATGCTTGACGCGCTGCCAGTACACGCGGCTTCCCCGTCCGAAACATCAACCAAGCGAGAAAGTAGCACAGAACGAGTCGGTCTGCATGTCTTCGCAATCTATGACCCGGTTCTCTGAGTGCTCATCTGCAAGACTCCGCTGGAATCAATGCGCATTGGGGAGCTATGGCGGATTAGTCTCTCAACTCATGCAAAAGGCTAGTCAGTCACGGTGAAGTTGCTCGATAGCGCGGTGCAATTAATCGGAATGGAAATTCCAGGGTATGTCGCTCCGATCACGATCGATGTACTGTAGTTGTAAGTCGGCAACAGCATCATGATCTGTCCAACCTGTTTTGAGTCAGCCGAAGTCCGCACTGATTCCTCGTATTAGCCTCACTGTGGTCCCAAACTTCTCCGCCAGATCTTTGTACACTCCCGCTACACTAAATGTGTATGGCTGCATAATACACGCGCTTGGTGAGCAATGTGGGATCTTGACGAACTGTCCAGGATCCAACACAGCCGAAATATTCTGTCCTGGCTGGGCATTCGAGGTTAAGGTCGTGGTGAGATTAAGGCGGAGGCCAATCTTCTCGTAGGTATCTCCGATGAAGTAAGGATGCAAGTAGTGCGCTATAGAATCTGCATGCCTTCATGGTGTCGAGGAATCCTCGAACATCGTGAAGGATCTCTACGTATTCATCTATTAAATGATCAATTGATCTCTCATATCTTACATGCGCCGCGCTCTCCGAGTGCTCGGAGCAGAAGCATAGGCTCTACGCATATTTCAATGCGACATCAATTTAAATCGGCCGAGAGCATACTGCACTGCCCTCATGGCGCTTAATGGCGCACCACGGCAGGATTATCGGTATTACGATGCGACTTGGAAGACAGTCGAATCAAATCGGAACAAAGGAAGTGAACAAACGAAGCAAAAGAAGTGAATATCTGGTTGGTGGTTGACACGTGCTTCAATGAGCATGAGTCAGCAGGGCTTCGAGCACAACTAGGTTTTAGGTTGTTGCTTCTTCATTTCGACTCGCAACGTGTCAAAGACTCCTTGCAGTCAACGTCAACAGCAGCAGCTTCTCTCAGCAGATACTAACAGCACAGTATGACCGACGAATCCGAATTACAGGCCAAGATTGCCGCCGTGGCCAGCCAGATCAACCGACACAAACAGAAGCACCAAGCGACACCGCATACTTCCTTTCCACGTCCATCACACCGTCCGCGTGGCACGACCCACTGGTCGCGATATGGTCGCGGCGGCCGATCTGGTTTCGCTGGTGTTCACAAGAACCGTTCTTTGGTTCTTGGAGGGACGCGGGATACCACGTCGACGCCGGAAGATGAAGCAGCAACTGCTGGAGCAATCACTCCACAAAATGGCCTTATAAGTACTCGAGGCGGACACAACAATCAGCTCATGACCCAGCAGACGTTTGACAGGGAGCGCAAGCAGAAGCTAGAGCGGTTCGAGAAGTATCGCGCCGCGAAAGAGCAAGAGCGAGCTGCTCAAAACGTGCCGACGCCACCACCGGTGGTGAAGCAGCCACGCGTTCTCGATATTGATGGTATCACATTCGAGATGCAGGAAGATGGCAGCAAACTCAATCGTATATTCGGTAAGGATGCACCGCAGAGCGGAAGACATTCAGGACTAAGCAGAACAGATCCGGCCACGGCCGAGAAGAAGACGCCCAAAAAATACCAGGTAGCGGGAGTCGATTTTTTCCGAACCAAGAGAGGCAACCTCGTGCGCGCAGCCATCCACGGGAAGAGGTATTTCGACCGGATAACTGTGCAGACAGAGCATCGAAACTCACTCTCCCGTCAAACTAGGACCGATAATACGAAGCCGAAAGCGCAGTGCGAGAACTTCACGAAACACGGTACCTATTACACCCAGCATTCCTCCATCGGCTGCGCACATGCGAAAATCGACTGGACTCGCACTCGCATCAGGCACGCCGGTAAGAAATCCCCTCGAATACTGACACGATTTATAGGTAAATGCCCATATGGACCGTCGTGCAGATTTGCGCACGACCCCGAAAAGGTCGCCATTTGCAAGGACTTCTTGTACAAGAGTTGTCCGGCAGGCGTCAACTGCGACCTCTCTCACGAGCCAAGCTACGAACGAGTGCCAGCATGCACTCACTTCCTGCGAGGCAACTGCACAAAGACTGCATGCCTCTACCCCCATGTTAATGTCTCTTTCGATGCACCAGTCTGCCGTCCCTTTGCAACTCTTGGCTTTTGCTCCAAGGGCGTATCGTGCGGCGATCGACACGTTTTCGAATGCCCTGACTACGCCAACGCTGGCCATTGCGCGAACATCAAAAAGGGTAAATGCCCATTGCCACATATTGATCGTGCCGGCACTCTTCGCAAAGCTGCTCAGCGGCAAGCAAAGACTAGCTCACCTGAAGAATCTGACATTTCCAGCGATGAAGAAGAGACTGTGGAGGCCAGCAGAGATGCCATGGACAGTGAATCGGAAAGCTCCGTGGACATCATGATGGGCTTAGATGACGGCAGTCACGAGCTCTCTCAGCAACGCGATTATGTCGCATTTGCGTGAATTTACGCCTCGAGCGCAGGCGTGCATTACCGTCTAATGGGGCTGAGATCCATATCAGCATGAAGTAGCAAGACATCCATCAGTACGCACATTAGGTGCCATTATTCGAGAAGAAAAGATCAAGACAGAAGAAATGCAAAGACTTATTGTCATTTGAGGCCTTGAATTTCCTGTTCTCTCGCTTTCACAAATATGCATCAACGTGTTGTAAGATAATAGTAATATGCGTTCTGAAAAGCAGTCAATGCCATGTGTTCTATAATGAGCGCGTACAGCCGCGCGCACCTCTGCGGCTGCGGTGATCGGCTGAGCACAGCCAGCTTCGTGACGGCGAGGGCAACCGCCTCTTATTCACGAATGGCTGCAATGATCGGCGCATCTATAGAATGCAAAATATGTCTGGTAGGCCGAATTGATTCTCTTTGTTCTTTTCCCTCCTCTCAATCGCATAACACGACATTGCTGCTCCGATCCCACGCCTCGACATCTACGACTCGCAACGATGCCTGGGTTGAGGGACTTGTTGAAGAAGAAAGAGAAGATCGCCGAGGAATCACAGCAGGAGCAAAGACCGAGCACTGAAGTGCCTGAGTTCAAGTTCCTCAGAACTACGACCAATGCTCAGGAGATCATAGAGCCTCCTTCGCATCCCGAAGATCAGCAACAGCCTGAGAAGACTACACCGGTGAAAGAGAAACGACGCACGTTGGGCTTTCGCAACTCCTCGAATGGCTCATATACCAAAGATCCAACGGCTCTACCTGCTGCAGCAGATGAATCAAGCCAGCAGCTTCCAGTGAGAACCAAAGGAGAGCGCAGGTTGTCAGCTCGTCTACATCTGCATCGCAATAGATCGCGTTCAGCCTCAGGCGAGTCGAGCACAAACCTGCCAGAAGATCTTCCCGAAGCGCCCGAAGCAGTTGCTGCGCGATCGAGAGCCAACACTGATCCCGACGAAGAGAAGGAGGTCAACGAACAGCGTGAAGCAAAATGGGAGAAGCGAGCTACGATACTGGCCATGAACAGTCCACTGAAAGACGACCACATACAGAGTGAGAAAACCCAAGGGCGGACTAGGAGCCGGAGTCCAAGCATTTCGGACAAGACAGGCGATGTCAATATTCAAGAGGCAATACGGCTCCATGAAGCAGGGGATCTTGCGAGGTCAACAGCAATGTTCGGAGCTCTTGCCAACCCAAAAGGCGCAAACAATGCCCTTGCTCAAGTGCTCTACGGGCTCGCCCTGCGCCATGGTTGGGGAATACCAGTCGAGCCTGAAAAAGCTATTCACTACCTGCAACTTGCAGCCTCAAATTCCGCCAACATAGAAGAACAGGCCCTCGCCTCGGGCATGAAGAAAGGCGGTGCAGCCAAAGGCGAGCTCGTACTGGCAATTTTCGAGCTAGCGAACTGTTTCAGGCACGGCTGGGGTATAAAGAAGGACGCGGTAGCCGCCAGACAATACTACGAAACGGCGGCCAATCTGGGCGACACGGATGCAATGGATGAGGCCGCGTGGTGTTACCAAGAGGGATTTGGGGGCGAGAAAAACAAGGTACGTACTCGTTTCCTTTTTGGCTGCTCTGGTGGTCTGGTGCATACGTCAAATCCGGCCAAACATGTCTCGCAATCTATTCCACGTGAGCGCCCGACAGACTCTCTTCTGCTGCATGTAGCGCCACGCCCATGCGAGAAGTGCGAAAAGAAGAAGCAGAGCCGTACCGCTTCTTCCGCGCGGCGGGCTGGCTGCGCCATCAGAGTGGGCGTAAGAGCAGAGCGCAGCAGGCAGTAGAGAGAAAGAAGCAGGAGAGTGGGCAAGCTGCACGACTTGCAGGGCCGTTTGAGAGAACGATGCGCCTCGAATGTTGGGCATCAGCAAGCACACACATGCACTCATGCATGCACGTCAGACGCATGTCCGCCGTCCGGATACCGTACCGTCCCACATGCAGAAACCAGATGCAGCATCTGATAATAAGTCCGGAGAAGGAGAAAAACGGAGACGGAAACGGCTACGGCAACGGAAAAAGAGGAGAACCCAAAACGCTAACGAGATTTTCCTCTAGTTCAAAGCGGCACAGTACCTACGTCTCGCGGAAGAAAAAGGAAGCAAAAGTGTCGGAAACAGTTGGTGAGTACTCCTCCGTACAACAAGTACAACCTAAATATCCAATGGTCAACTGCTGCACACACACTCCATGCAAGATTGGGCCACCCGGCGATATGTTCGGCCAGCTTTCTCACGCATGGCGTACCTGCTTTCGCTCTGCTGCAAGCAACAAGCTATAGCTGGCGGAGCGAACTGCCGGTCATTCGCTGCAGAGTGATAAGTCCAACCCTCGGCAATCGAGGCATCATCAGTATTTGCGAACTTTGCGAAGATCACACTGCTGACCTGTTGTGTTGTCCCTCAGGATTTGGAAAGAGAAGTATAATCCCAAATAAGGGCATCCCGGCGCCTGCAATCACAATCAGCCACACGAAGAAACAATCGCGCCTGGTTGCTTCCTTCCATCTATTATTTGTGGATGATGATGATGCTTTCACACGCCTGCGCGCAGGAAAGTGGGCATCACTGCACTGCGCTGCACTGCACCGCACCATTCATGCAGAATGACCGCGCGTTAACGCGAAGTAAAAAGATGAGAAAGTTTACAAGAAATTTGACCAAAAAGTTGGAAAAGGCGGAAAGCTTGGTAAAAAGATTTCTTTTTTTCCGAGGCATCACAATGCCGTGATTACACCATCTACCCACCTCCAGACGGACAGTTTGTAGCCTCGTACATACAGGACATACCAGAATCTGAGACACATGGGGAATCTCGTATATGTCTCAAACACATGGGATCATGATGCCATACTTGCAAATTTGCCTGCTTGCCTGCTTGCCTTGCTTCCCCTCCCCAGTGCTCAAGGCTGTCCACCAGACGCCGAGCTCCCGTCGTGTGTCGCATCGCAATGCATGACCCCGTCGGAATCCGTACAAATCGTGCAGTGCAGCATGACTGATGAAGAAAAATAGAAGAAGAAAAAAAAGAGTTTGTGATTTGAGCCAGTCAGTCTTTCCGAAGTCGCAGATTGAAGATTTCGAGGGGGTATCGCCAGAATGCAAGTCGTTCGTTCGTTCGTTCGTTCATTTCCTTCCTTTCGTTCGGTCATATCTCAAACAGCCATCACTGCATAAACCTTCGTAAACATTTTCATCCATCCCATCCCAATCCATCATCTCATGAGTACCTAGTCAAAAAAAGATATATGTTCAAACATGGTGAACCCGAAAATTCGGCCTGGCGGCTTGGCCAGAGTCGTCTTCTGTCGTGTACAGAGGAGAAGAAGTGATCCCTTGTTCGTGATCGTCTTGAGGTCATGATCGTGAGAGAATTCGTCTAGTAGTGTCATTCATTGCATGCATGCATTCATTCATTTCGTACCACACAATCATTGTTCAAGTTTGGTACTTGGTCGTCGTCTCTGTTGTTCTTGTTGTTGTCGTGTCTCAAGTTCGTTGTGATCCCGGACAATTTCCTTGAATTGCCGAACGACGTCAGCGGGAATTTGGTCCCATAACAGACTTCGTGTATACACTTCTGCTTTCGAGTTCCGTGTTTGGCTGTTTTCAAGGTTTGCTAAAGCTTCCGCCAGATTGCGTCTTTGAGGTGGCGCGGGCTCGTTCCCGGATTGCTGGTTGTAAGCTGGGTAATCCATGTTCGTCATCGATGCATACTGCGCAGGCGTCAAGGAAAAGGCTTGGTCGATCTCCTGCTGCTTCGTGGGAGACGTAATTGTCCGATGCATGCGATCCATTCGACCAGGTTTGATATGATTGCTGTACGGAAGTCCGGAGGGCATAGGCTCTTGGCCCATTCTTGCGGCCGGATGATTGAAATCGTGGCCGGTAGACGATCCGGCCTCGGCGAGCAAATTATTCAGCACAGCAGGAGCAGCGGCACGAACGTCTTCCGGCATCTTTGGAAGATCTGGCGGCTGCGAACTCGCAGGCTTCGATGCTACGAACGCTCCGCAAAGTAGAAGCATGAACAGCAGACCTGATGCGATGGGCTGCTCGTTTGTATGCTCATTGTTCCGCTTGATGGATGCTTGGGTCACAGTAGATGATGAGGATTTCTTGTTGAGTTCTGGCGTTGGTTTGACTGGCTCCGGCTTGGGCTCAAAAGAGAAGTCATCTTGTGGATCGTTCTGCAAATCGTTGACGAAGATGAAATTGTCCCAGTCGTGAGGTCCCATGTTCAGTGCTTCCATCTCGGCATTGAAGTCAGTGAAGCCAGTACTGCTGGGTGCGGCCGACATGGCCGGCGCAGGTCCAGCCTCGAGCTGATCCGTGAGAATTTGTACCTTTCTCCGAAGCTGAGAGGCCTCTTCATTGTGTCTCATGACCAGATCTCTCTTCTCATCATCCATGGTGTTGATGATACGTTGAGCTTCCTGTAGCCGTTGGTGCGCGAGCTGCCGATCACGCTCTCGTGCTTCGCGCTCGCGGGTGAGCTCGTTGATTTGTGCTTCAAGCACAGCAATTTGGTTGGTGTAGTTCTTTTCCTTGGATTCGAGATCTTCGGTATGCTTCTTCTTTCGTTGTCGGGAGGCTAGTCTATATCATGTGGTCAGTGCATGCAAGGGTCATGATGCACGAGTCAGTACGTACGCAGCTTCACGATTCCGAAGCAGGCGCTTCTGTTGCTTGAGTTCCTTCAGAAGCTCTTCATCCGTCGTCTTCTCGATCAGGTCATCAATGGTCTGAATGTTGCGCTCCTGTGGAATGTCGATGCGCCCATTCTTCTTTCGGATGCCGTCTCTCCTCTGGAAGTCAATGATGGTGCGCGGAGGACTGCCAGGTCTCATTCGCTTATGCGGAGGTCGACCCTCCATTTCCTGCTGAGCCATGCCCATCCAGTCTTGATGCGAGTGAGGTGACATTGGCGTCTGCACTTGGGGCGCTGGAATGAAGTTCTCTGGATGTGGGCCGGGAAAGTGGTGTGGGTGTGGCTGCGGATGACTGAAGCTGCCGTGTGCGCTGTCGGCGCGCTGATGAACATAGTGAGGATTCGCGTCAAAATGTGCCGGTGGAGGCATAAATTCCGGCCCCGTCGTAGGCGTGCAGTCGCCAGAGCCATGTTCGAAAGGCCACGACGGGGGAGCGTGCTGGGCAAACGCCTGCGGGTGCTGACTGCTTTGGGGACGCATGTAGACGGTACCTTCGTCGTGATGGAATGGATTTGACGCGCCTGCTGAAGCGGGCTCAACCGCTAAGCCAGCGTTATATGGGTGATCCCATGCCTGTGAGTCTGCAGGTGACAACACGCCGTTGCTTGCGGCGAAAGAGTCCTTCCGGAAGGCAGAAGTATTGGGACTCTGCATGATGTCAGCGTCCAGAATGGAGGGATCCAGCACCGCTGAGTCGTCCTCGTCGAGAAACGCTGGCTGTTTGTTGTCAAGCGCAGAGTCTGATTGTGGCAGATGGTAGCCAAATCTGGATGCCATTTGAATGCAAGAAGCGGTGAGGACGGGCGCTTCCGGCGACGGCGCACGTCACGCGTGGAGGCTGGCGGTGCACGCTATGCCAACGTGACTGACTCTGCTCCGGCCAAGAAGGACGAGTAGAGAGGCGCCGGGGATCGACGAGATGGCTTGGTGGGAGAGAGAAAGTAGGCAGGTGTCGAGCGACAATCAATGCTCGAAAGGCATTAAGGAGTGGCGAGGCAGCAGGGACAAGCTTGCTTAAGATATGCCCGAGCTGTGAGGAAAGCCTAAGGTGTCCAATTGTGCTGGGGGGGGGGGGGGGGGGAGAACGTCACGGAACGGAGCGAAGAAGCAGCAGGGCACGCGAAGCAGAAAGGTGCGGGCGGATGTCAGTGGGTGCCCAGCGCGCAGTGCAGCCTAACAATCGGTCGGGTATAGATGCAGTAGAGCGCAGAGTGACAGGTCCTGGTAAGCCAGCGGCGGCTGGGTGCATTAGCATTTCCGTGCTGCGTGCAGTGCATTATTATTCACTCGGCAGGCTCGGTTTGCTCGCCGTACGGCACTCCTCCGGCACGCATGGCATCGCAACACGCATCGCATCGCAACACACTGGACGCGACGCCGTATAGCTCGGAGGGCCTTGGGCGGAGGTGCCGAAGCGACGCGAAGCGATCACTCCCCATCTCATGGCATGATCATGAGGCTGCTCGAGGAGTCGAGAGGCAGCAGCGTGTGGCCCCACGGTACGAGAGATCTGGTGCACACGAGGCTGGGTTTCAGATTCGCGCGTGACCTCGGCTGGTGGATGGTGCTGGGTTTCGCAGTGGCAGCAGCAGCAGCACTGAAAAAGGCCTGTCCACACGCAGCTCCGATCACGGGATAGCCATGTGGTGAGTCTGGTGAGGTCGGCGGGCAGAGCACAACAACGGAAACCTAGCGTGGGCGATGCGCGGTCCTTGCCGGCCGCTGAACCTTCACACTCCGTCATGATGGGGCCGGGAGAGGCTGTAGCAAGGCATGGAGGCGGCATGATGAAGGAAAGGCATGCTCCTGTCATCCTGTGCGTGTGCCCAAGACCCGAGAACAATGCTGTCATTGCACTTAAAACACCCCTTCTCTCTCTCGATTCGCCATCTGTCCCGTAAGAGCACATATTTGACTCTCGTCCTGTGGACTGGTCGCCGACTCGCTTTTGATGCTGGCCGATAGTCTCAGCGCCGCGGCTCTGCTGGGATGACGTCTTGTCAATTTGACCACTCAACCCCAAAGAGCGGTATGCTCTGCGTTGCGATGCGACGCGTGGAACGGCGTCTGAGATGGGCGCGAGTCAGTTCACCGTACATTTCCATATGAGCGGTAAGTCACCGCCGAAATTCCTTCATTGAAAGCGATACGATGGCGCCGCGCGCGCAAGCAGTTGATTCGCCTGCGATGATGCGAGACATTCGTGAGACAGCTTTTCGTGCCGTGCTTGTGCTTGTGCAAACAGAGCAGCAGCCGGGCAGCGAGCCATGCCATGCCGCATTATTTCGGGACCCAGCAGCCTTGCCGCCAATGGTGCTACATGACCACTGCTGCCTCTCATCCACTGCCATGCTGCCTCTGATGGTGAAAGGAACCCTCTCCCCCTGAGATGCAGCCGCAAGACCATGTCGAAGATGTGATGGCGGCCTCATCACAAGCCAGACGTGTTTCTTGTCCCGGCCAGGATCAAAGTTAGTCAGACCCCACAACCAGACTACCAGAGCGATGTGACGCAGGAGCGCTTGCGTTCATGCCGCAGACATGCGCCAAGGACAGGACGTGAGGAAAGCACAGGGCACTGAGGGCAGTGGCTTGGGTGTGCAAACACGCGCAGGCCAGGCCAGCTTCTCGTCCAGAAGTACAGCATCGCCCGACAATTGGCGGGGTGCTCTCTTTGCTGCACGAGCTTTCTCACGCCTGCACACTGCACAGAGCTTGTCAACCTATGCCAGACCGCCGAGCGCCTCGTTGTTTGGGCGACTCTATCGCTGACTGACGCGAAGTACTCATTCCCTCCTTCAGGAAAGGGCAATATTTGCTCCATGGAAAGCAAGGGTCACGCACCTGCCGCAAACGACGGCCTTCTCAATGCAAACATGGCGCTTGCAGAATCCGCTCTTGACAGCCAATCGCGTACACATCAATAATGGATCACGCCCCGACCAACCCTCAGTCGCTTCCGCCCCGGGCACAATGCTGTCGTCTTCCAACAACCAGGTCGACACGGAATAGAATCCTGCCATCTCATTGTCCTACTACCCAGCCGGCCAGGCCAATCGTGCAATGCCTCGTTCAGGGAGCGTTGCCAATTCGCTGTGACTGGTGTGCTCGAGGAAGGATAGATGCTGCCCAAACCACGACGTGAGCTCGTCCCCAGCATATTTGTCTATCGGCAGATATGGTTCGAAACATGCACTGCAAGTACCATTCCATTGTTGGACTGAGTAGATTCGGCCACCGCGACTTGATGCTTCGTGAGCAATTGACATCAAGGGCATTTGCTGAGCAAGGTCAGCAAAACATCCTCCGAAGCCCACGGCTTCTCAAAATCCGAAGATTTTCTGGCATGGCCTGAAATCTAATTCTTTTCTTTTACTGGTGGGCGCAAAACATTTCCCAGTCGACGTTCAGAATTCTTCTGCGAAGCGGGACTCTGTCAAAGCAGCTTTCACAAGGAGCCTCTTGCGCGAGGCACGATGACAAGAATATCGGACTGGCTTCTGTCATTCTTGTGATACCAATCTGATGTTGAAGCATTCGCCATGTCTACATAAGATCAGGAAAGAGAGCGCGACGAACATTCTTCTACTTCACTCAACCCCATCCAAATCAGTCTCGCAAATGAACACCCTAACACCACTCTCCTGACCCAGCGGTCCAGCGACAGGACAGTTGTAATCATGTCCTGAATCGCGTCTACAAGTTCCACGACTAGCACTTCCATCGGCAGGAGTGATAGTATAATCCGGACCTGTCATCGATCAGCAACTGTTGCGCCTCCCACCGTCGAGAAAATCAAACTCACTGTAGACTGTAAAATGTCCCTCATTGATGTTCCATTCGAGTTCAGCTATATCCCAATCCGCAACGGCTTGGTTACCATTACATCCTTTGCATCTCACTCCTCCACTGCTTGCATCGTCTGTGGCAGCATGGAACACTGCGTTACCTGGAGCATTGCAATCTGGCTGAGAGGAGTAGAATTTGTAGCCTTCGGCCGCTCCGCCGCCTCCTGTGGGTGTGTTTAGGACGGTGTAGATTTGCATGTCGGCGAGGGCGGTTCCTGCTGCCATCATGAGGGAGAGGATGGCGAGGGTGGATTGCATGGTGAGGAAGATGATGCTTTCAGTGTTGTGAAAATCTTTTTCGACTGCGCGATGCTGTTGGATCTTTGACACAATGCGACTGCTCTATATACTCATCGTCGCCGGTCTACATTGCCGATGCCTAGAGAAATTCAGTAACACCAACAGAAGATTGTTTCTTGGTCCTCGTATGGAAGAACAATTCCATTGTTGGCATGACTGTTTGTTTTTCAGATTGTCTGTCCAGCTTCCTTTATTGAGATCGTTTGGTGGAACCTGAGATGGGCCAAGATTTGTATTCAGGTGTCTTGTCTCCACAGCCAAGATCGTATTCGATATTGCTGGCAGAATCCTTCAACCTGATATGGGCCAAGATCTGTATTCAGGTGTTTTGTCTCCACGTACCAAGATCGTATTCGATACAGCAGGATCCTTCAACTTCCAGCTCTGACCTTTTGCCAGGTGGACGGGGTGGATGCGCTTTGCAGACAAGTATCATTCATGGGTATCGTAGTTCTATAGGCTCTTTCTTTCAGCAGTTTTGGCTTCCTCCATGCCCTTTCCTCCCCAGCTGCCACAAAGTAGCTGAGCACGTCCACATCTTCTGGCACTTGTATCTCGAACTTTGTCGAGATTATGGTGATATATTGCGCCAGGGCGAGGCGACACATCAGACCAGCGAGGACTGGAGTAAGCACCATTCTTCGACCGCGTTGCGCTTCTGTTCACAGGCCTATGGCGATTGCCGTAGTCGCATAGTTTTCTCTGCTTGAATCCGAGATCAAGTCGTGACAAATAGGCTCTCGCGGGACAGGTTGTGAGCAAAGCAGTTGATGACCTGCAAGTAGAGCATCACCGTCGTGTTGTTGAGCATAGAACCCAAAGCTGTGGCGCACCGGTTCCAGCACATTTCTTGTTTCAGGCACCGATCTGAATGCTTTCAAACAAGTAGAACGCTGCTCTGTGTTAGTCAAGGATCACATCAGATTAGGATATAGGAACTCACGCATTCACACAGCCGTCGTTCTCGCAATTATTCGTGATCTGAGCCCATCGTCCCCAAACGACTTTACCACCGGCTGTGACGAGACCGAGCTCGCTGACATTTACTTCAATGATCGTTCCCTTGGTCAAAACTCCGAGTTGGGTGTACATTGGATTTTGTGGGTTCTTCTTGACGCTAATAATGGGCAGCTGCACAGTGACACCCAGCTCGGGATGTGTTACATTCGCCTTCTTGTATCGGAGACCCATAGGGCGAATAAAACGTTCGTACTTCACAGGTCGTCGTGTGAAGTCTGGGCCAACGAAAGTGGGCTTCGTGATCATTCGCTTCCAGCTCTTCTTCGCAGTCTTTTTGCCAGTCTTGACCACTTTGAACATCTCCTCCTCGCTAATACCACGAACTTTGGGAAGAGGCACACTGAATTTGGCGGCCTTCTCAGCTCGCTTGTTCTTGATGGCAGAGCTCAGTGCCTTCGCATTTGTGGTGTTGGATCGGTCAAGCAAGTAGTTCGGCACAGGATTGCTGGCATTCTCGGCGGGCTCTGCGGATTTCACATTCTTCTCCTCCTGCTGCTTGATGGCCTTCTTCATCTGAATCTTCTCCTTGTGTCTCTTCTGCTGGTACAGCTTGGCACGGAGACCTCGCAGATTCTGAGCCTTTTCGGAGGCATGGTGGGCTTCTCTGGCGTTGCGCTTCCGCACACGCTCGTCGTGATCAAGCCGCTTACCATGCTGCTTGGTGAAGCGTTCCATATACTCGTTCTGAGGCATGGCGGCGGTGTTGTCGTCGCTGCGACAGTGGGATCCGAGGGTGGTGTTCCAGTCTGCGCAGAGTCTCGACTTGTCGAGGGCGGAGGCAAAAAGATGCCAGGCCCGCCAAGATTTTGCGGCGACTCCCGAGTTTGTCCGCAGGCGCCCGACCAGATCTTGTCAGTCAAGCCAGCTACGCATTGCGCATTGGGTGTGCAACCGATCATGTTATCACGAACGATCTGGAGGACTCTCCTAGAGTTTCGCTCACAATTACCGCCGACCTTCCTCCTCCCATGGACCGCGAACCTGAGCACAGTCTCGCATTCGACAGACGCTCCCAGCGAACCGCCTCCGACCACGCAAGGCTCTAGTTCGTACGTGCCCGTACCTACACAAAGACTGCCATCGAGACCGGAACATGGCAAGAAACTCGGTTCATCAAATGGCCAGGAAGCATCGAATGCATCTCTTGACAAGCAACGACAGTCTCTCGGACAAAGTCTAGAACGAGGCGAGGCATCTCCAAAATTGCCCTCACCTTCCAGTGGACAACCGCCTTTGATACTCTCACGCTCCGTTCGCGATCTTCTACCAATACTGCAAGCGCAGAGTCCGCACTATATTACAGCTCATATCCATGGGTTCCCATACCTCCTTACCGAGGGCGATACGCTTCGCTTACCATTCCTCATGAAAGGCGTCGAACCAGGCGATGTCATTCGCCTCAACCGTGCCATTAATCTTGGAAGCAGAGATCTCACACTGAAAGCACCCGCACCGGGTGACAAGATAAAAAGTCCTGCCACTTCCTCAAAACACGTTATAGATCCCACCACAGGATCACTGACGACCCATTCAAATGTCATGCCCAAGGGAGCAATGGCACCGCACTTCATTCCTCACATTGCAAAAGGCAAGCACTCCTACATCGACGACAGGTTGTTCGTATGCAGAGCTGTGGTGATGGGTGTGGAAAGTGAGCCAATGAGAATCAAGGAGAAGACGAAGCAAAGACAGAGGCACGTGAGAAAGGTGAAGAGCAAGCACAGATACACCATCTTGAAGATCAAAGAGCTCAGAGTGAGGAGCGTGGACGAGATTGGAGGGAACCGCATCGAGGAGTGAGCTAAGCTTGGACATTTGCTCCAACTCATGCAGATACAAGCTGCTCTCACTGTGGCTCCGCCGTCATCATCTGCTGATCCTCTATCGTCCGAGCATTGAGCAGGACTTTGCTGGAGGATTCTCGGGATGTTTCATGCTGTGAACAAGAATCACGAGCATGGACCCTTTTCGGAGTCCGAACTCCGCAACGCAACCGCTGGCAACGAAAGGAAGCAGGAGGAACGGCTGTTGCGAATGTCCGCCACATTGGCGCGTCTACTCATCAAACCATCGATCAACCGGCAAAAGTGCCAGGTTCCCCGGAGGACACCTCGAAGAGTGTTCGAACATCGAGCACTTGCCTGCGAACAGATTAGTCAATGGCACCAATCGCTGTAGCAACAATCTAGAGAATTCAGACTCGAAATTGAACACATTCCAGATCAGTTGCAGAGGACGTCTCTGGAGCTCGCATTGTGATTCCTCAATTAATGCAACTTCGCCCCTTCATGGCTCGCGACGGCAGCATGCCGGTGCCGACCCTGCAAGAATTCCGCCAAAATGTAAGAAGGGAAGCAGCGAGTCACAGAAAGCTCTCGCACGTATGACCGCATTATACACACCCCTATACGTTTCTTGGCCAGGGAAGAAATACAGAGACAAATATCGCTTGGAAAATGCACAGTAAAGGGACATATATCTATCCTAACATACAATCTGATTGTGCTTGTATTTTCGCGACCGCAACTCATACGTCCTCATCACTGTCTTCGCCCAGTAATTCCCCTTCGTCTTCGTCCACACCAACAGAATAATCTGCGCGACCTCGGGAGAAGCTGCTTCGGCTTGTGTATGGTGTTCCAACGCGAGCATAGCTTCCACTGCTCCTGCCCATTCTTGTAGATACCGCTCTCCAAACACTGCCGACCAACATAGGCAGTGCGGCAACAACGGCCACTAAAGCAGAGATTGCCATGACGGGATACTTGATCCAAGGTTGTTCTCCATCAAATGCACCTCCGCCATATCCTCCAACGCTGTCTCCAAGTCGGATCCGACCAAACTTGCCATCCCAGTTTTTGTAGACCCAGTATCCCACACCGGCCGCCGCAGCGATAGGAATTGCGATTGCGAAGAAGAGGCCAGCACCTGAAATGGCATGCTTCTTCTCGAAGTCGCCTTCCTTGCCCGGACAAGGCTTGACGTTGGAGGTGTAGTCGAGTTCTTTACCACCTTGGCAAGTTGTGAGCGGGATGCGACGGTATCCTGTGATGTCAAAGTATTCGATGGCGTCCTTGTCTTTCTCGCAGACGGCTTTCGGATCTGGGGGATCCAAACCTTCGACCAGACGGCAAGCGCCCGTGGAGTCGCGCTGGTAGTTGTAGTCGCATTCAAAGTCTTCCCGAGTGCACGAGCAGTTCTTTGCGATGTTGTGGAGATGCTTGATCTCACGGCCGTTGTAGCAGTCGCTGTCTAGGTTCTTGCGGTGGTATTCAGCGACGTGGCCGAAGAGACAGTTGTCTTCGGACATGGGGTGAGATGGTGACCAGAGATGGTAGTCTTGGTCTTTGCTTGAGGGGTTGTCCTCATCGATCTTGCACTGCCTGCTTCGCTCCTTGAGGCCAGAGAAGTCGAGATTGACGGTTGCAACCTTGTTACCAATTCGGCCCCAAAGCAAGAAGTTTCTGCTCGTATCACTGGGCACAGTGGAGATGTCAGTCACTGTCATTTCCTTGCCAAATCGGTATTCTTTCCAGGTTTGGCCTTCGTCGAGCGAGTATCGGACGCGGTCAGTGACCTCGTTCTCTTTGACAATGACGATGATCGATCCTTGGTCGCCGTACTCCCACATCCAATTACCTTTGGCAATGACCTCCCAGCTCAGACCACCGTCTCGAGTGATGAACGTATCGGCGTCCTTCTTATACTCCAGGTACTCGCCGACGTTCCCAGTACCAATCATCAGACCGACAGCGCTTGGAGAGCTATAGGTATCACGAGGATCCTTGCGCTCAGTGTAGCCATGCAAGTGGAGGCTGCACTCCTCAACGTTGCTTCCTGAGCAGCCAAACTTGACGTCCATATCCTTTGGAGGTTCTCTTGGACGCCCGATCAATGCCCAGTCGCCACCATCGTTGTGAGTCATGTACGTCCTGAGCTTCTTTGCCTTGCCTTTATCGGCGTCGTGTGCATTAGCCACACGATTGATGATGGCAACGCCTTCCAGGCCTTGCATTTTCTCAAAGTCCACGTAGCCAGCGCGGTTGCGGTTGACTTCAGACGCAGACATCACATAAGATGTACCATTGCTGTTCGACTTCACGATTGCGCCATACTCCTGGTCTTCCTTGGGGTTGACAGTGACGTGCAAGAAGACAGCGTGAGTGCTGGAATCCAAGACAGTGTATGCCTGTTGGTGCTCCACATTGAAGTTCGGCGGGAAATGAGCGTCGGCGAAGGTGACACCATCTATGCTTGCATCCACTCGTAGTGTCTTTTGCTGGTCATCGCGGATCGCAACGACGATGAACTCTGCCATAGTAGCGAAGCTGATGACATCACGCTTCAACTCCTTCTTGTGGTCGAACCAGTCGGTGCTGCTCATTAGTAGCAGAGAAGAGTCTCTATTCTCATTCTCGTATTGTTCGCAGTACACCAACTGATCCGAGTTCTGTCGTCCTTCACGATAGACAAACTGGCATTTCCGGACAGCTCGTAACAAGGTTTCCCAATCTTCGCCGCCTGATTTGGAGACTTGCGCAATAGTCTTACAATTTTGCTTGTGGGTATCGCAATCTTTGCCACCGGTCCAGATCAGCCAGTCTTTTTGCGTGGGGTGGAATGTCAGCACTTGAATATCGTTGTGGTTCGGTGCCTCGGGAGCCTGGAACTTGCCCCAGCTTTGCGCACGATTCGTCGAATAATGCACGTCTTTTCCTGCTGTGATGAGGTAGACGTAGGAGGTCATGTACTGATGAGGATAGACCGCCAGAATCTCCTCGTCCTTCATGATACGCTCCCATTTCTTCCCATGATCATGTGTCACGTACACCTCGCGCCGGTCAGTTCGCATGATGATCGATTCGTCGTGTCCCGAATCACTCTCTTCCCGCTCGAGATAGTAGTATTCAATGACTTTGTCGGCGTCAAAGGTGGTGATCTCGGTTGCGATTTCACCAGAGGTTGGAGGAGTTTTGGTATCGGTGCAGTCCCTTTCGACTTCTTCTGCCAAATTCTCACCACCTGAGCAGGTGTTTCCAGGAATCAGCCTGTATCCGGAAGTACCCATGAACTTCTTCTTGTCGCCACTACAGGCTCCTTCTGGAGCAACGATTGGGCCGCTCTGCACGCACTTGCCATCCTCTCGCTTGAAGTTGTAATCACACTCAAAGTCCTCTCTGCTGCATTTGCAATTTTCTCGGTCTTCTTCTGGATCCTCAAAGTCTTTGTTCTCTACCAAACACTTGGCATCGGCTTTCCTGCGCGTGAAAAACTGTTTGTGGCCCATGATGCACGTGGCTTTTCCATCACTGTCAACGCGAGCAGGCCATTTCTCAAGGTCGTCCTTTTTGCATGTGCTTTCATGCAAACCATTGAAGTCAAGCGCATACGTGAAGTGCTCAGTCTTGGAGTCCACCCTCTTGGTAGCGAGCATCAAGAACTTTAGAGAGGTAGAGTCCGGCGTTGTGGTCAGGGTGTAAGGTTTTATCTTGTCCTTCAGCTCCATTTCCTCCCACTTCTTGCCATGATCCAGCGACCACTTGAGTTTCTTGGTCTCGCCATCCTCAACAGCAACTATGACAGAACCTTGAGCACCGAACTCGTAAAGATGAGGCTTATCTAAAGCCTTCTGCCAGGTAACACCGGCATCGTCGGATATATAGGTGTCGCCTTCATCGTACGGATTGAGGTAGTTGCCAGTGTTTCCAACGCCCATAACGATGCCAGGTGCCGGGCTGCTGAAAACGCGTCCCATGTTGCGCTGGTTCGTGATGGAGTGAAGGTGAAGCTTCTTGCCGTCCGCCTTCAGATCCTGCCAAGTCCTGCCATCGTCGAATGAGATTTGTGAGACCACTTTCTTCTCTACGCTCCACTTTGCCTCAACCTCCTCCCAGTTGTCAACTGTATTGACGAGAACGATTCCTTGTATGTTGGAAATCTTCTCGAAGTCTACGTACCCCCTGACGTTTCGGTTGGTATGCTCGATGTTTTTCGTGAAGAAAGTACCGTTGCTGTTGGACGTGAGAAGAACACCCATCGGATTCTGCGCCTTGGTTGTCATAACGTCGACCTGCATGCTGTAGTTTGTACTCTCCAGCAAAGTGTACGCGTCCTCTTCAAGCCTGTGTTCGCCGAATTCGGCTCGATGCCATGTCACTGTATCGTCTGAAACGTACATTGCCATCTCCGTTGTCCTTTCACTCTTCGCGGCAAACACCAGGTACTTCTTGACCGAAGCCAGATTAGTGATGCCTTCCACTGTTTTGCCATCACTCATCTTTGGTTCTCGCCCGTCCGTCTTGAAAAAATCCTCGGTAATGATTACTCGGTTGTTGGACGAGAACAACGAGAATTTCCCTGGTGCCACGCAAATTATGGAGTTCTTGTCCTTCTCTTCGTCTCCAGTGGTGAACAAGGGCGTCGACTTCGACCATAAGCATGTTATGACATCCTTATCCAGTAGCTTCGGCTTGGTTTTGAATCCATCAGTCGTGTAGTAAATGAAATCTTCACATAATAGTCCCAGACAATTTCCACCCTGGAATATCATGCGATCTGGATCGGTAGCATGGAAGACAATGCCCGGGCGCATCCGCGATGGACTTTCATCGGTCTCGAATTGTTTCCATGTTTCGCCACGATCTCTCGTTATCCAATGCTTCTTTTTACTGCCCAATACCACTGCAAGCTTGTGGTCGTAGGGATGCTTCAGCACTTCCATTATTTCTCCCTTCTCCACGCCGTCCAGCGGCTTCCAGGTCTTGCCGCCATCGGGAGATCGATAGGTGACCTTGGTATCTGGATTGGTCGTGAGAATGACATCGCTGTCTTCAAAGTACAGAACATTCGCCGGCTGGGTATCAAATTTGGTTTCTTCAAGGTCGGGTGTGTCTTTGGCTACTGCCGTGCCACTCAGAGCCAGCAGGCTGAGCAGCACGCCCGGGAGCAGCAGTCGCATGCTGGGCTATGCTATCGTAATGAAGTTGATATTGACATCGAAACGGAAGTGCAGACAGCTGCGCAATCGGTCGAACTCGTATAGCGAATCGTTTGTCAGATGGCAGGCGGCTATCAACGTTATGCGAAGTATACGTGGCTGTGGCTCTCAAGTAGGCAAGCACCCAGCTCGAGGATCATGGCTGCACGTGACACTTTGTTGCCTGAGGTCGCATCCCCGCGGAAGGAGTGACCTTGTACAACACCAACTGATGGGGATGGCGAATGCTCAGCATACGGTGCTTACGACGGAAAACAAGTGTCAAAAGTAACTAGCCGTACCTTGCGCAACACCATCACTCCGCTCCTCCGCTCCGCTTAGCATTCACTGATAGAGATGGCGAATGCTTAGTACACGGTGCTTACGACGGAAAACAAGTGTCAAAAGTGACTAGCCGTACCTTGCGCAACACTACTACTCCGCTCCTCCGCTCCGCTTAGTATTTACTGATAGAGATGGCGAATGCTCAGCACACGGTGCTCACGACGCAAAACAAGTGTCAAAGGTGAGAAGCCGTATGGAACTCTGATCGGTGACTGCAAGACACACTCGCCCCCGTCAATGGGCTGGCGAGCACCACTTTCACGCCATCTTCGTATCCTTGAGAAACGTCAATGCCATCCTCTCACAGCGCGATGCGCATCGATTAGTACCGACTACTGTAGATATACGTCCCGGGACATATTTCAAGACTGAGCACGCTCGCAAAAGTGGAAGTTGATCGTGGCTGGTTGAGGTGTTTCCATTGAATGAGAATCAAAGTTTCAACTTTCAGTCCGCAAGTTGGACCAAATTCATAGCAGCACGTGCCTCGCAGTAGCCGCACGATGCATTCGTGCGTGGGTATCAGTCTGATTCTAGTCCGAGTAGTGTAGCAAGAAACATATCTGCCTTCCACCCGATTTGCGCTTCCCTAACTCCTGCGTCGTCCAGTGCGTGATCGTATCATAATTTTCCATCAACATTAATCTGTACATGCTCTGCAGAACATCTCTCAGTGTCTGACCACCCCTGCAGCAGCTACGACGCCGTACCAACAGGTGACATGGACCCAGTATCTCTGCTGAAGTCTCTCAAGGGGTAATCTTGGTTGCGGGCGTTTCTCTTCTCCATAGCGATAGGGTACTGCGAGCCCCGACTAGCACTTCGTATCGACAATCCGTCCGCATCCGTCTCATAGTCGGCGTGGTCTCGGATCTCCTGTGGCTTGATATCTCGAACAAGCTCAACATAATCGTATGCGAACTCTCCAATTTCAGCATCATCGATACCCGCGGCTTCTTCCTCGGGACTGGCGCGTAGCTTGAGTGCTGGGATGAATCGCGACAGTGAGGTGATTATGAGAAGTATGGCGCTTGTCATGAGGAAGGAGTATGCCATGCCGCAGACTGAGTCGGCAAGCTGAATGGCAAGCTGCAGCCAATGACCGTTGATCCAACCGCCTTTGATAGCAGCTTCGCCTACGGTGTAGCCGTCAAGGGCAGCGATATAATCAGCGGCGAAAAGACCAGTCAGGAGGTTGCCGAGAAACCCTCCGACTCCGTGAACGGCAAAAATGTCGAGCGCATCGTCGGCGCTGATCCAGTATTTGAGTTGTGTGGCGAAGTTGCAGCCAACACCAGCGACGACGCCATAGACGATTGCTGCCCACGCTGGTACAAAGCCTGAGCCAGGAGTGATACAGACCAGCCCGGCGACAACACCAGAACAGAAACCGACGGTGCTCCATTTCTTCTCCAACCGATAGTCCACCAGGCACCATGTAACGCCGCCGACGCAAGCTGCGAGGTTGGTGACCAGAGCGGCCATGATAGCACGCAGATTCGCTGAGAGGGCAGATCCAGCGTTGAAGCCAAACCATCCCACCCACAGAAATACCGTACCGATGACGATGTGGGTCACATTGTGGGGACGGTAGTTGAGCGCGTGCGTTCCGTGACCTGCCCGCTTGCCCAAAATGTAGGAGTATGCGAGCGCTGCGGTTCCTGATGAAATATGGACAGGAGTGCCACCAGCGAAGTCGTAGCCGCCTAGCTGGTATACCCAGCCGTGCGGATTCCAAGTCCAGCATGCAATCGGATCGTACACGACAGTCGTCCAGAGAAACATGAAAATCACGCAGGGAAGCATCCTTCCTCTTTCTGATACTGCTCCGACCGCGAGTGCTACCGTGATGCAAGCGAACATACCCTGGTAGACGCAGTGCATGAGGTCTGGGATGCGGGCGCTGCCAACGGATGGCGCAGCGAGGACATTGCGGAGCCCGAAATTTTCGAGCGTTCCGATGAAATGGCTGGCGTTGTGCGAGAATGTCAGGCTATAGCCCCAGAAGAACCACTGGAAAGAGACGACAGAGGTGGCCATGACTGACAGCCATATCAGAGACAGCGCCGACTTCCGCCGCGCAAGGCCTGAGTAGAAGAAGCTGTGAAGTGTTGTGTCAGTAGGATTTCTAAGACTACAACCATGTTCGATGAGACCATACCCAACGCCAGGTATCATAAGCAGCACAAGCGCGGTTGCAGTGATCATCCACGCGATGTCGCCAGATTGATAGTAGAGGTTGAGATTTAGTGACAGCGAGTCACCTCCCGTCAGACTGGTGCCATTCTCGGGATATGGCTTTAGAGGCACGTAGTCGGTCGAGGCCATGTTGAGACTTGAGAGGTGTCGCAGGTCTGCGATGCCCTATTGGCGGACGATTCAAAGCGACTCGAGTGCTGGCAATGCTGATGCTTAGAAGCAGATCGCAGCTGCGAGCGCGACTGCCGTTTGTCTTGTGCTTGCTTGTCCAATCTTGAAAGAAGGGGTCCAGCTGATGAAGTGCAGTTCAACGGTGATGCGCGCAATCCACTCCGCTAACGTTTGAAGCACGGCCACGGCAACCACGAAACCAGCAACTCCAAAGAAACCGGCGAGACACAGATCCGTGTTGCACAGAGGTTGTTGTTGGTTGAGCGACCAGAGAGCGGATGGTCAGCAGGACTCCGGCCTAATACAACTGCATGTGTTCGACCGTTTTCACGAGAAGGAGTTGGGTTCCGGCGTCTATTTGTGGCGTCTACAGGAACGGCGCTCATCAAGGCTGAAGACAGACTGCTGCCGAGGCGCACCTTCGACGAGGATGGGATCCTCGACACCATTGCAGAACGACTTATCAAATGAGCATGCTTTATCGACACCACTTTCTTCTGTTTCCCAAGCGGTGTGGCAGGATCCTGGGACACTGATGACGCCCGTCAGCACTGCTTTTTGGAAGTCTCCCGGCTCGAGGGCTGAGAGGGCACATTTCTGGGGTGAGAGTTGGCTCGCCCAGGAGACGTGAGAGGTGTATTCTTCGAGATCTGTCAAGTTTGGACCTTCCTGCAGTAGCCTTATCTGACGCCAAGGAGCCACGAATCATAAAGCAGGATCGAATGGTACCTGGCAGACTCGGTCGCAGATCCGGCAAAGTGCCCGTTCACCGAAAGTCAATGCGGCGCCACGATCGCTGAGCCGCTGAGATCACCTTCCCATTCTGGAGCACTCACGACGAGCATATCCGGCAGGAGCAGCTCGCAGTTCCATACGGCGTCTGATCACATCGGAGTGAAAGTGGGTATTCCCCAAACCCTTGCTCCTTATAGATTATAGCGAATAGCAACTTGTTATTCAGCGGTCCGACCCTAGTCACGTTCACTCCGATGTGGTAAGACGCTGTATGTTGGAAATGCAGCTTCTTGTGCAGCAGGTGAAGTCGGTGGCCTACAGGAATCATCCCAGCAGTCCGGACAGCGCCGCCTTCCGCTATTCTATCCATGCATCTTAATCTACGCCACGCACACGACTCGGGAAACCGCGATCGCATTGCGGCATTGGACCTCATCGCTCGGAGTCTGCCGTGACAACTTACAGAGTCTGTACGCATCGGAGTGCTAGTCACTAAACGCGGACCGTCGATTCTGAGCAGCGCTATTCGTTCGAATCCATGAAAATGCAGGGATACCAGAGTATCCACTGTCACTCCGATGCGGACAGAGTCTGTACAAGACACGAGCTCATCACAGTCGCGATCATCCGTCCTGGACAGTGTCGCCCATGGCGCCGACCAGCGACGTGGGTCTGCACTTCTGTACTGGTCGCACGTTACAAACATGAAACCCCAACGACAATCACGCTAACGTCACGCGAAATTGACGAAGACGCGCTCGAGCGTTCAGCCGCCATCGTCTTTCCTCATCAAATACTATACACCAGGCTTGGCTAGGCACTTGTATCGTCGAACGCTCTTTCCGCCTCCATAGGTGATGGATGGGATGTTGTGTTTTGGAGGAACACGCCGTCCAACCGATCAGCCACGTCTACTTGATTTTGAACCGTGCCGCGAAGGGCACACTTGATGCCTGTCATCTCTTATCGACCCAATGTGAGGACAGCATCGAGCTGTGTTAGAAGAGCGTTTCGCAAATTGTGAATGTGTCCAGGTGAGGCTAACGTCAGGCTATCGCGATGCAAGGCCGAAAGGTTCCTCGACGACGACAAGCACAAGGCACCGAATTCAGTTCCAAAGCCAAAGACAAACGAAAGACAAATGAAAGATATATAAAAGATCTGTATGAGATATGCATAAGATATATACAAGATATACACAAGATATATATAAGATATATATATTAAAGTCTTTTATTACTAGTCTACTCCTAACTAGGATAAGTAGCCTTACTCTATATATCTAGAGAGAAAAGCTAGTAGTATAATAACTCCTCTTTCCCTAACTTCTATCCTCTATAGGCCCTAGTTCCTACTTATATTACTTTATATAATATTAGTTACCCTTACCTACTCCTTTTACTAGGTAGGCTTTAGCCTTCTCCCTCCTTAGCCCTCTCCTTAGCTCCTCTCTCCTTATTCTAATACTATTTTAGTATCTCCTCCTTTACTAGTAAGAATTAGTTAGGTACCCCTTCCTATATTAGCTACTTTACTATTACTAAGAGTCCTTTCCTTATAGTAGTAAGAGTATTCTAGTTACTTATTCCTACCTTTCTATATATCTCTTATCTACCCTTTATTAAGAGGTAGAAGATAGTAATATTATAATATATTTTAGTAACTAGATTCTCTAGCTATACTAGTATTCTAGGGTAATCCCTAGAACCCTCCTTTTTATAAGGTATTATCTTAGGCTAATATACTCTATCCTAATTTATATAACTACTAAGGTAACTAGTCTTAGTTATTCTAAGTAGAGATAGATTCTACTCTCCTAGTACCGTATCTACTAGATTACTAGTCTACTCTATCCCTATTATAGGGCCTCTCTTTTTATCCTCTTCTTTTTCTATCTTTCTATCTAAGTATTCTTATTCTACTATATCTTTCCTAAGTAGAGTAGGGCTACTCTTCCCTATACCTCTACCTCTTAGCTAGCTAACTTAGTAACCTATTTTTAGGTAGTAGCTCTTCTTTTTAGGTTCTATCTTCTAGAGCCTCTAATCCTATTCTCTATTTCTCTATACTTTTTCCTTATATACTATTATATAGAGAGAGTGTCCCTCTTTACTACTAAGAGCCTTACTATATCCTAGACATAGAGGGTAAGAGAGGGGGTATTAGCTTCCTTCTAGAGAATAGTTTTAGGTATACTCTTATACTATAGGCTCCTATAAAAGATATATAAAAGATATATAAAAGATATATAAAAGATATATAGAAGATATATAGAAGATATACAGAAGATATATAAAAGATATATAAAAGATATATAAAAGATATATAAAAGATATATAAAAGATATATAAAAGATATATAAAAGATATATAAAAGATATGTAAAAGATATGTAAAAGATATATAAAATTTTCGTAATAAATAATATGTAATATAGGAAGCTATTCGAAGAACAAGTCAACTATAACCCTTTATAAGGACTTTGGCGCATGTTTTCGAGTGTCGCCGTGATTACTTCTCCATTCCTCTGCGATGAGACAACCTTCACAGTACCACTTCTTCTCCTTGGGCGCTTCTTCGATACCCACGCATTCGAAGTGAAACCACTGCTTCTTGCACCTCTCGTCATCACACGCCAGCATCCTTCCTCCTTCGGGCTTGTTGCAATAGCAATAAAGCGGCTCGTCATCCTCAGCATCCGCATCATACATCTCCTGCTCGTTGGGCTTTGCATCATGCACTTGGTTCGCACCGCGATTATCCTTGGGCATCTTACGTTCCTTAGCTGATGGACCGTCTTCATTGTTCTTGAGATCGCTTTCATGTTTTCTCTTCACGCCGTGTAACCGTTTTCTGTCACTCTGATCTTCACTCTTCTTTTCTCCATCTTTGGTCTTGTCCTCTTCCTCGGCTCCATCATTTGCGTGCTCTCCTTCCTCAGGATCCTGTATTGTATTCTCGTCGGGATCGTGAAGTCCGTTCACGACTTTATTGAGACCTTGAATGTCACCGTCTTCGCTATCTTTCAACTCTGGATCGACCCAGCCTTCAGTGTATGAGCCTCCAAAATCAATAATCCACAAATCATCATTCTTGTCTACCATGAAATTGTCTCCCTTCGCATCTCCCCAAATGATGTTGTGCTGGTGCAGCAGATCCACCGTTCGTGCGGAATCATCTGCCCATTTCATGCGTTTCTCTTGAGACACGTTTGAGTCCAGCATTTTAGTCAAAGGAGTGGGATCTGCGATGGCATCCATCAAGAAGCCCATCATCTTTGTTTCGCCATCTCCATCGAAATGGACCAAGCCTCGGAGAAGAGGAACTCGGATCTCATTGTGGATACCTTCGTCTTCGATTTTCTTCATGACTTGGAGTTCGCGCTTAGTCGGGCCTGGTTGAGCTGCGTCTACAGTCTTGAGGAAGTACTCTTTGCCATCTACCTTCACGAGAGTCGGATGTAGAGGCACCGGATCTGGTCCTTCGCATTCATCGAGTACGGTGATATCTGACGCTGAGAATGAAGGGACGTCAAGCTTCTGGATATACCTTGGCAACTTGATGACAGGAATCGTGCTGTCGATGTGCTCTTTCGTGTCGTCCGTCTCCTCATCTTCCTGTGCCAGGAGCTTGCCATTGGACAGATACAGATGATAGAAATGTGTTGCGCAGTGATACCAGTCTTGCACTGACCTATGCTTCGACTTCGGCTTTGGCGCTTTGCTGGAGAATAGCTTTGCCAGAGGCTTGAGGACGAAGGTTTGGAGATGCACAGTCGACGGTGCTGATGGGTCGACGTCTTCCTCGGACGACACGCTCATACTGATGCCACTGTCTTTGTCGTCCGACTCATCGCCATCTTCGTCCTCATCTTCTTGGACGAAAAGTGGTGATGTGTCATGGCAGCCGCAGTCCTCCTGCGACTCGTCCTTGACTTGCTGAAGTAACTGCAGGTATTGTCTGCGAATCTTCTTGCCTGCTTTGGACCGATCCTTGAGTTCTGCCGGGTCGACTATGACATGAAAGCGGACTCCGTGTACGAGTGCCGTGAGAGCACAACCTCCTTCATTGTCGTAGACGAAACTAAGAATGTGATGCTGCGGTAATTTGACCATGATGAAAAGTTTTGCTGGGTGAATGGAGAATAGTGGAAGTCCACATGCATAGAAACACGAGGAGAACCATACTTACAGCGTTCTGGCTCTGGGCCTTCTACTCTTCCCAGCCCATCGGTTGCTAGTCAGGAACACCGACATCATAGATGTATTTCGGTAGTCTAAGGGATTCTTGCATCACCATCTATGATCTCACAGACTCAGATATTGGGCGAAGTGTCGATGTGAAGGTTGTTCCCGGTAGATGATGACTGACCCAGGGGGGGGCCTTCCGGGGTTCCGAGATCTCCAGACCGAGATCGTTCCTGCAGAAGAGCGTGTCATCAACGACGCGAATCTCTCCTTCGGGCGTAACTTTCGCAGTGGCGCGTTGAGAGGCTTTCCTTTTGCGGTGGCTCTCATCACATCGATCTTCTTCTCATCCATCAGAGACGCCTTGAACCATGTGGCGCCTGCAAGTACGTCCCGATTCAATCTCCTCGCGTCCGATACCGCGACCGCTATCTCGACAACGTCGATGGAAGAGCACGCGTACTACGACTTGGTCATTGACTGGCACTTGACCAAGCAATAGACGTGGCCATGCTTCCACTATGGCAGCCAGGTCAACGAGGCCGTGGTGACATACGTACAGATGGCAGAAGATGCGGCTGCTTGACCACCACACGGCTTCAATTTTAGCCACGGCACCCCTTCTCTCATACTGTATTCACTTGCCACGGATCCCGCGCTTTCAACAGAACTGTGGCTATGGCGAGTGACAGTGGCACAAAATTCTTGAATCCTTGCTTCGGCTCAAATTTTCCGAAGCACACAGTCCACGAGACTGCCCTGGAATAAAGCGAGTCCATTTGGATTCGGGTTTGACCGATATGCAAGGTATAGGTATCCCTCCGAAGGCTCCGATCGATTCGATATGCAGGGAAGGCAATATAGACCGTACCCTCAGCTGATTCACGGCTGCAACTCAAGAAGGATGCATGGCCTGCGGCTGTCGATGCCACAGCCGAACATGGTTGTCACGCGCCTGCCGTGGGAAGACATCCGATCAGATATATTGCTGGCAGCCCGCGAGTCTGCATGCTCTGGTGCTATCGATCCAGCAACGAAGCATTTACGTTTCAGTCCCCAACGAGATGAAGTGTGTAGATTATCGACCGCTATTGCTTTCCGGCCTTCTATGCCTAACAGCGCCGATTGCGAGAGCCCAGCAAACAGAAAGCTTTGACGTCGTCGTGATTGGCGCCGGTCTATCTGGTCTTTCAGCTGCACGGAAGCTTTTAGATGCCGGCAAAAGCGTGCGTATCGTCGAAGCGAGGAGTAGGGTCGGTGGCAGAGTGAGTATAACTTTGTGTATAAGTCTCACCGCTCTGCTTCGGAGTCAGCATCGTCAGAAACCCTGCTAACCTTTATTTCCATTGCTTTTAGGTGGAGAACCAGCCACTCAAGAACGGCGGCGTTACTGAACTTGGTGCCGCATTTGTAGGACCAACGCAGGATCGTGTGCTAGCCTTGGCCAATGAACTAGGCATAGAAACGTTCTTGGAGTACGACACGGGGCACAACTTGGCTTTTGGTAGGTGGAACGAGTAGAATTCATGTTATCGGTTGTATGCTAAATCTTCGGTCATTCTAGTTGGCGAGGAGCGAATCACTTACGATTTACTTCCCATTCCATACATAGATCTGGCAACGACTGCACAATTCGGCGCGGCCATTGCAGCTCTTGATCTCAAGGCTTTGACGATCAATGTAGAAAAGCCGTGGAACCACCTCCTCGCTGCTCTGTGGGACAAGACCACTGTGAGACAATTTCGCGATTCGATCATCACAACGCCAGAAGGACGAGATGTTTTCGAAATTGGTGTCGAATCCATCTGGAGTGCGAGATCAGATGAGCTCTCACTGCTTTACGCACTATCTTATATTGCAGGAGCGGGCAACGAGACAACTAAAGGAACATTTGAGCGCCTCATTTCAACAGGTGGTGGCTCGCAAGAGAGTCGCCTGGTTGGTGGCACTGGACTTCTACCTAACGGCTTAGCAGACAAGCTTGGACGTGAGCATATCGTCTTCGATAATCCTGTCCGCTCCATCACATTGCAGCAGTCTGGAGAATATCTCGTGCAGGGAGATAAGTCCTCGGTCAGTGCCTCGAAAGTCGTTGTGGCTTTGTCACCTCCTGTAGCTGGTGAGATTGAGTATACTCCGGCTTTATCAAAATCGCGACAAAAGCTCATGGAGCACCTCTTCATGGGTTCTCTCGGCAAGGCTAATGCTATCTACCCTACCCCGTTCTGGAGGGATGCAGGGTTGTCAGGCCAAGTCATCTCTACGACTGGCACAGTCCAAACCACGTTCGATGACTCAGATGCAAATGCAACGTATGGTGCTATCCTTGGATTCATCGAAGCCGATCAGATGCGGGCGCTCAACAACGCGACTAAAGCTGAGATCATCGCTAGAGTCACTGATGATTATGTCAGGTACTTTGGCGAGGAAGCGAGGAATGCGTCCGAGTGGGTGATCAAGAGATGGGACTTGGAAGAGTTCTCCAAGGGTGGACCTACAGCTTTGGCTGGGCCGGGAACATTCAAGAAATATGGACCAGCGCTGAGGCAGGCTGTTGGTGGTATTCATTGGGCTGGAACCGAGGCTTCTGATTACTGGCCGGGATACATGGACGGCGCTATCAGATCAGGTATGCTATGTCACTTCTCTGGGCCCTTTGAACATAGAAGCTGACTGTCTGAAACAGGAGAGCGAGCTGCGCAAGAAATCATGGATAGTAGCTAAATTAACAGCGCAATTTTTGAAGCTGAATGAGCTGGTTCAATTATCAAGACTAAGGCAAAGGAGTGAGCCTTCACACCATGTACCTTTATAACAACTCCCGCTTAAGCATAAATTCCAAAAAAGCAAATGGATATCGCGACCATTCCCCAAATACCGTGGTTTCGACGACGGTTCACCATCTGGCCAGCGTTCGGGGAATCTGCCGCGATGTATAGCTCCGCCCAAAGAAAGATTCGAATGAGGGTTTCGTAAGATTTTAATAAGATTAGTCTAAGTCTCGAGCAACGAGCGTAGAGTGCGCAAATTGCTACTTTGGATAGCATGCCTTCCCAGAGTGGTAAATATCTAGGCATTTCTCCATTGCCGCATGTTCTCCGTAGCCAGACCAAAGGCTGTAACACTTAGGCCACTGACGAGGACTTGTAGGAAGATGGGATCAGGTCGAGCGGATGGGTGATGCCCTCGCTGAAGAACTTGTAGTTGCCAGTCTGGGTAGCACGCCAAATGGCGGTGGTTTTGGCGCTGTTCCTGGAGATCAGCACACTATTTCGACCGCGTTTTCGACTCAAAGAGCCACTTACTTTGCACCATTCTTCAGGTCCCAGGTAAGTTGAAGTATCAGCTTGCTCTGCTGAGCATCGTTCGGGAACAGCTGTACGGATGCATCGATGCTGTTGACGCTTCGATTCGGGTTGCTGCTGCTCCAGCCGCCTGTCAATTGACATTGCTTGATGCTATCATCACCTGGAGTGTTGCCTGTTCTAAATCAGTACGTGTTTCTTTCGAGGCAATAGAATTGCAGCTCACGTTGGGAGCAATGCCCGCTGAATCCTGGCAAATCGTCGGTCTCTTTGCCCTCGACATCAAACTCATATGAACAGAAGGCTCCGCCCTTGGCCGGGTCATTGCCGCAGCCGATGTAGACGTTGGAAATCGTCCATTTGTTGTCCACAGCGGTTGGCAGTGCATTGATTCCGAGAGTGGAGAGAGAGAGAAGAGCTGCGAGTGCTGCGGCTGAATACATACTGAGCTCGTTCGGACTGACTCAAAGATGCAGGAAAACAATGAATGGCAATGCTGAGCGTCGATGGGAAAGCTGTTGCTTGATCTGATATTGTCGTCGCTGTCTGTGAAATCGGTGTCTGTGAAACTGGAATGAGCAAAAGACAGCTTCATTGCTCAATCTCTTTATACTCCGCCATCTTGAGTGCTCGGTGCTCCATCCCTGCGTTGATCGAAATTGATTACGAGTTGCCATGGGTAGCCGTATTCAGAGTTGCCATGGGTAGCCGTATTCGGATGTTTTTTTATTTTTAAGGCTCCAAGCCTCTCTGCGGATTATTTTTATTATCCGGGGTTGCGTCAGCAGCCACTTCACCCCTCGCCCCAGCTCAGCGGGCGTGAAGTGACTGACGAAACCCGGATAGGAGAATGAGCTCTCAAGTCTCGTGGTCTCACAAGACAGATGACACGCCGCTGATGGCCCTGGGATAAAGCCTTGGCAGGGGCTGTAATATATATTTGTCTTTTACTCGTCCCTGGGGCCTGGTCTGCGACGTCCCAATACTATGTCTTCTGGGCGCCCCGGGCCCCGGCCATCACTTCGTATAGGTCACGCGGGTGGCGAATTTTCTGTTACTATCGTTTGCCTAAAACAAATATACTCCTATAAAAAACGAATATAGATCACTAATAATATAGCCCTATATACTAGATATATACCTATATAAAAACACTACTAGATATTATTATATCTAGAATTAGATCTACTACTTAGTTCTACCTAGAACTACTCTAGTAGTGTCTAGTTAGAAGTAAAGCTAGGACTATATTTGCCTTCTAGACCTATTTAGTTTCTATATAATTTCTAATTAAATTATACTAGAATTCTTTAAGAGTTTTATTAAAGTAATTTATTTACTTAGTTATAGCTTATAAAATTATAGCGCTAGGCCTTTACTTATATATACTTCTATTTTTATACTTACTAAGCGTATCTAGTTTTAGATTTATAAGTTTTTTAGTTATTAAAGTTATAACTTATCTAAAGCTATAGAAATCTAGTTTATCTTTTATTCCTTTTCTATTCCTTTCCTATTTCTTTCTTATTCCTTTCCTATTCCTTTCCTATTTCTTTCCTATTTCTTTCCTATTCCTTTCCTATTCCTTTCCTATTCCTATTCGATTCCTATTCGATTCCTATTCGATTCCTATTCGATTCCTATTCGATTCCTATTCGATTTCTATTCGATTCCTATTCGATTCTTAGTCGATTCCTATTCGATTCTTAGTCGATTCCTAGTTAGTTCCTAGTCGATTCCTAGTCGATTCCTAGTCGATTCCGATTAACTTTTAGAAAGTAGGGCTAGCTTAAGCCGAGGCTATATACGGACTACTATACGGACTACTACGGCTCTATCTAATTAGTTAGATCGGTAGTTAGGTCGGTAATTTCGGTAGTTAGGATTACTATATACCCTAATACGCTTATCTTTCTACTCTAGTTCTATACTATATCGTAGCTAGGAGGCAAGACCGATAGGTACGAGTTAGTACGAGGATAGTATCTTTTAATAACGCGTTATTATTCTAGCGAAGCGGAAGGCTAAAAAAACAGGCACCTAGAGCAACCTAAGGAGCTTGCGACGAAGGTTATAGAAGGTGTCTGTTTTTAGCCTAAGGCGAGCGCGAAATAACGATCGGATTGTTGCGCTTGTTGCGCTTGCTTTGTCGGTGCTGTCGCTCTTGCTATGTCTATAGTAGCACGAGGGTCGGATTGCGAGAAGGGCGCTCTATACAAAATAAACCTCGCGCTCTAATTAGTAGAAATCAAAAAATACTGTTACGTGTTCCAGCCTTAGGCTACTAATAGCACTATACTATACTATACCTTGTGCGCTAATAGGACATACGACACAGCACTACTACACTAGCGCTAACAGCCTATGCGATACCGACACTATGCGACACCGACACTATGCGACACCGACACTATACGACACCGATACTATGCGACACCGATACTAGGCGACACCGACACTATACGACACTAGCTATATGCAACCCCTATGCCTACCTACTCTACAAACCACATCCTGCAGCTACCTTCTATAGCAAAACAAACTATAACCTGTAAACAATAAAAGATCAACAAGGAAAGAGCTATATAGGAAGAGCAAGCATAAGAAATAAATAACTTAGAGAAATAAAGGACTTAGTTAAAAAAAAGAAGAATACTACAAGGTAAAAAACTGTAGACGGGCAACACCCGGAGTCACTCTTACGGACACGATATAGACCTCGAGCTTTTGACCCTTTAAGACAAGTTACGAATCAACTAAGTGAACATGCCTACTAGACTTCGACCTTATACGAATCTTATAAAAGAAACGCCGCTATAGAAAACCTGTCCCGGAGAACTAATTTCTTTAGGGTTAGACAATAGGCAGTTACCTCTACTAGTTTATTAGGCTGCTAGCTGCCTTAGAAAAGACTATTGAATGGCCTAAATCCCTTAGGTTCCCTACGTAACTTAATAACTAGGCGTAAAGGATTACTGCAACTCCTTACCTAGTTGCAGCTAGGCGACGCTTCGTCTTAGTCGATTATTATTAGTTAAAGGTTATGAATTGCAGTGTCATTGTATACCCTTATTGCTGCTACCTAGCGTAATAGCTCAGTTAGAAGGGGGAGGTAGGTAGGTAAGGTTTCGACACTTTGGTTAAGGGTTCAATTCCGTGTCTCGAAGCTATATTATTAATATTAAGTTAGTGTCGACATTGACATTGCTACGTACCTAATTCGCACCTAAACTCGCCTACTCCGAAGCCGACTAAGTTGAGTCGATTGAGCGCATTTCTAGTAAAACTACGCTAGTAAAAGTAATTAATACGATAACGACGGATGCCTTAGGCAACCCCCTACTCTATAAAGGACTTGCCCTCGATATATGCTACTAGTAGGAGAATAGTATCGCAGCTTTCAGCAGATGAGAGCTGCTAGCAACGTAATACACCCCTTACCGAGTCGAATAAGGGTACTAAAGTAGAGGGCAAGTTGATGTCGAGCCTTAGTAAGGGCTTAACTTGTCCGGAACGCTAACGTTGCGATACGAATGAGGGTACTAAAGTGGAGGGCAAGTTAATGTCGAGCCTTAGCGAGGGCTCAACTTGTCCGGAACGCTAACGTTGCGATACGAATAAGGGTACCAAAGTGGAGGGCAAGTTAATGTCGAGCCTTAGCGAGGGCTTAACTTGTCCGGAACGCTAACGTTGCGATACGAATAAGGGTACCAAAGTGGAGGGCAAGTTAATATCGAGCCTTAGCGAGGGCTCAACTTGTCCGGAACGCTAACGTTAGTAGAAGGGTCGTAGATAGAAGAGCGCTCGATATTAGAGTAATCCTGCGCCTTCGACCTTTATAGGTAGTTACTAGGTAAGCGGACACTAGAGTCCGTGCATTTATATATAAGAAGCCGCACCCCTACTTTTCCTGAATTGGTATAGTGCGAGCTGTACAAACAAATAGGGAGCTCTTTCCCTTGCTTCTCGTGCTCCGCCTTCCTATACGCCTTACCCTCGATCGTATAAACGCACTCTCGCGCCCTATCGGCTTACACTCGATCGCCTACTATATCGCTTTCCCTATCGTATCGCTTTACTCTAAGATGTTGCTAAAGCCGCATTTGCATCCCGATCGCACTAGCTACACGCTTTATAGCCGTTTGAACCGCGACCGGAAGCTATACATTCGAGGCTACGGCTAGGTTAGATAGACTATCCGCGAGCAGTATAACCTCTTCGTTAGCAATAACTTAGTCGGCCGCAACCTCCGGCGTACACTCAATAGGATGCTCAACAAACTAGAAGCATGCCTAGACACTAAATTGTAAGAACTTAAAGACTAGATTCAAACGGTAAACCTTAGCGACGAATATGCCTATTACGACCTTATTTCTGCCCTTACCGATACCTATGCTAGTCTCAATCAGATTCAGACTATACGCATAATAACGCGCACTCGTTCTATAGGAGTTCCTAGCGGCGGACCTCTAGATAGTAGTAGCGGACTACCTAAGAAGAATCTTCTAACCGACCGCCCTAATCTTCCCGATAATAGCGATAGTAAGGCGGATAACGACTACGAAGGACAGAAAGACACATACTCTAGTTGTAGTCACTAGAAGAAGTAGCGCTGTTTCCTAAAGGGCAAGAGAAAGCTGAAAACCTATAAGAAATGCCGAACGAAGCCTTCTACTAGAGGAAAGAGAAAGTTGGTAGCCGACAACGATAATAGCTAATAGACACCTTCTAAGCGAGGCGGTAGTCGTATTAGTAGCGGGCGGCTAGTATCTACTCCTTCGTCTAGGTATATACCCATCGCTATCTAGTCTACACCCCCTATACCTTCGAGTATGAATCTAAGCTTAGGTCTAGGTCCTATTACTACTAGCCCTCGCACCGGAGATCTATAGAAGAAGGCGCTACCTTCTTTAATACTACCTCCGCCTCGACCTTCGCAACTTTCGCAACTTTCGCAATCGTCGCAAGTTCTAGAGTCTTCGATAGGCGCGGCTAGTCGTTATCGCTATAGTTAGTATAGTAGTAACGACCCGCAGACTGCTACTACCCGTACTACTTAGTATAGTATTTCGAGATCTTATCGCTAACGTCGTCGTACTAGAGAAGATGTCTCGCAAATACCGAGCATCGCTAATATTCTCGCTAGCAACGCTAAACGCGTATAGAAGGCGCAAGATACAGAGTTTAGTAGCGATAACTTCGGTAGTGACTTTGACCTTCTAGAGACCTTCGGTATAGGTACGGGTAGCGGTAATCCTAATCTAGACCGACCGGACGAGCGCCTATAGTTCTAATACGAAATCTACGATGTGCTACGTGCTATCGCACGTATTATAGCACTACATGAAAGCACCTGCTAGTACTGTGCTGCGGCTAACTTTAATCGAGAGACCTAGTTAAAGTGGTGCTAGTTAGGTATATACGAGACTAAGCGCGTGCTATTCTTCTATAAGCACGATAAGGAGATAGAGTACGAGTACAATTGTCGACTATGCCGGCCCTCTAAGGACGGCTATATAGGACCTCGCCGTCGCCGAGGACAAGGCACCCGCGCTATAGAAGCTTA